CCGTAGTATGTGGTATCAATGCACAGGAGCAGTAGATTCTAGAAACTACTATGACTTATTATAAGGAACATTGCAATGATGCTTGTATTGCATCTATAGTGGTTATTATGTTGGAGTTATTTTACAATAAACTAGAGCTCTAGCAATCAATAATAGCTTGCTTGACTATAACTACTTTTGAGTTGCTAGCACTACTACACTAAACCATTATTATCACATATTTTTTCACCTAAAATTTGGCACTTATTGTTAATTTGAGCATTATATTTCAACTCTAATTTAGTTTGTGAGGGCCAAGCACTCACAAGTTGTGGTTGCAATTTTGATTTAAAAAAAATTAATTGAAAAATAATTTTTATTTAAACATTCATCATGATTTAATATTGCAGTTTGTATAGCAATGGATATGTGATTGTGAATTCTTACATAATATATTTACATATATATGGATTTATTTTTAGTTTTGAATTTTATTATGCACACAATCACTTTTCAATTGCTATATAAATAATCGAAACATGATTGTATACATAATATTTTTGTCATGGGTTATGCTATATATACATAGGGCATGACATTTCAGACTACCACACAAGACTAATGCCACATCATTTTAGAAAACATGATATTACTACGAATCTAGCAAGGGATATTTTGTTTTATTCTTATGTTATTGAGCACAAATTTGTAATATTTGATTGTGATCATCTTTCTCCTCTTATTTCACGGGGTTGTGCCTTATTTCTTACAGCTTATAAGCATATTTTATGCACTCTAATGTAAAGTGCTTTAATCACTCTTGCAAGTCTCTTATTTCTCATATGTTGTTTGCACACGACACCCTAATTTAGGTAACAATTGATTAGCACAAAAGCAAATGTAATTGGTTGTTAGAGGTGAGGGTAAAACATTTCTTTATATGGTTAGAGCATCAAATGCAATAGTTTTTATACAAGTAAGTGGATCTTGTTGTATCCATTAATTTTTTGCAACTCTAATCATACACATAACTATTTGGTATTTCACTAGTTTGTTGCACTTAGGCATGTTGCAAATTAATAATATAAGCTTTTCTTTCTTGGGTTTTTGCTTTTTTTGCTTGAACTTTATGATTGTTGCAGTGATTACATTGTGGTAAATGAGGAACATTGCAACACACGCTTGCACATACTAAATGAGGATAGTGGGCCTCCACTTATGCTATTGGCTTTGTGACTTGCAATAGAAGAAGGTTGTGGAAACCCTAATATATGTACATTCATTATATTAGGTGAAAAAAAGATGATATAGTCTCCAATCTTGAGGTTGTGTTTATGCAAGTATTGCCACTAAGCTGTGCCTAAGAACTCTTGGCACCTGATCTAATAGAGCATAAATCTTTCTTCTAGAAAGAAAATAAAAACCACAAAAGCATAAATATATAGAAGTATATAAACAATAATATAAAAATATTGGTATCCTAGAGGAAAGTGAAGAGGGAAGGGTAAAGGAAGATTCTACTATTATAGAGATTATAGAAGAAAGGTGTTGGATCCCGAGAATACAGAGGAAGTAACTTTACAAGTGCAAGATGATGGATTAACTTAATGATCATTTATGGCATATCAATCTTGTATTGAATACTAATAGATATCCTTTATTTGTTTTAGATTTTGTTTTTCTTTGCAAGGCTATTTTTGTAAAGCCTATAGTGCAATTTTACATTGTGTGGCATATGGTGGTGGATGAATTTGAGCTGGTTGTTGAACATAAGGTCACTAACAAACATAAAATGGTAAAGGAAGATTATCCTTGTGATGTTATGGAAAAGGATCCTTTATGTGGGGCACAATGTAATTGTGGAGGAGGGCTTATGCAACATAGTAGTGGAAAAGGCTTTTGAGCCTTCTCATGAAATGAACACCCCTAATTTGTAGGTGGACAATTTATGTGAGAAGGATATGTTAAATCCTCTATATGAGGTAGAGGATGAGGCTTTAGTTGAGGTTCCCCAAGGCAATGAGCTAGTGGCTCCACATGATATGAAGGATACTCTAACTAACAAAGTGAAGCCTCCTCATTATATAGTGGTTACAAGCAAAGATGTGGAAGTGGTATATGATAGTCTCCTTTATGAGGGTAGCAAAGTGGAGGCTCCTTTTGATTTAATGGTTCCAGGTAAGGAGGTGAAGGTGCCACCTGACAATCTCTATTAGGTGGAGGCTCCACACAAGCCTCCTTGAAAGCATAAGGCTCTATGAAAGCTTCTTTATGAGTAAGACTCTAAGGAAGAAGGCAAGATAAAGTTACTAAATTTGTATAGTATAGTTTATATATAAATGAATGTTAGGCTTGGAGATCAAAATCTCTAGACTCAAATCATCATTATTACATCATATAAATCAAGGTGGCAATTACAAGCTCGAGCAACCTTTGGTAGCCCACAAAGTGAGAATGTGTTAATGAAATGCAAGTTCTTATTTCATATTTGGAGAAGAATTTTGGCCATGATTATTTTGTTTGCCTGCATCCACGTGTTAAGAGATATGGCTTTTTATCTTGGGTTGATATTTTAGAGTTTAGATGCAAAAGATACAATATAATACATAAATTTCATGCAACTTGGGTAAGGAGTTTATTTCTTGCAGTGGTTCTGATTTTTTTTGCATAGAGGGATGCTCTTGATAAATGAATATCTATATATATTTTGACAACTACTTAGTATTACATCTATATATATTTGCCCTTCCAGTGTATTGCAATTACATATGAAAGCACATATATAAGCTTCTATACATATGACCTATAGTGTTTATGCAAAATTAATACCAATGCTACATAATAAGAAACCTTAATTTTGTAAAAAAATTCTTCAAATTAAGTGGATTTAAGGTGAAATTGTTTTTTAAGGCATATAATCTGGAATTTTAGTATAGTTTATAAGATTTTGGGTTTCTCACAATTAATTTATAAAAAGTAGCTACCACAAATTATTACTTCTAGTTTTAAAATTTTGTAACATGATTTATTATACAAGACATTCAATTAGTTGCAGGTTTTGTAACAACTTTATACTTTATTCCTTAATCTTGCATTTAAATATGTCTCCCCCTCAAGAGCATAAAAAAAGGGAAGGATAAGGCACCTCGTATTATATAGTAGAATATTTAAGATTTCTTTGTTGAACTTTTGAACAAAATTATAAAAAATAGCAATTTATAAGTAAATCCTTGTGTGAATATATAGATACTTTATTGCTTTATAGTTTTTCTGGTTGAAAGGACTCATTAAGCTCGGCTTTCTTGAATAAGATCTATTGGTTTGGCTATACTAGCTCACTCTATGAATGAATATATCATGTGAAAATATGCCAAATTACTGTAATTTATTATTTATATGCTTGTTATTAATATTTAATTTTTATTTTTGTCTTTGGAGTGAGATGTTTCAAGAAAATAACAAAACTATAAAGCTATTATAAACTCATGAGTTTGGATTTTTCGGGAGGTTACCTAGCCAAGTATTATTCAAACCCAAGAATGCTTAACCTTAAATATCCCAAGACCCTTAACCAATTGAAAAATGGGTGCATTTTTATTCATGGGCCCTTTCCCTCTATATTTGAAACTTATGGACCATTTTTTAAATCATTCTCTTTGGTTGCTTACAACTATTTTAAAAAGATATTTAATATTAGTATCTTAAATAATAATTTTTAAGCTGAAATAAATAAAATCTATGCAATAAGATAAAAAAAACTAAAATATATTATTATTTAATATTTTACAACTCATGTATTCTTCTTTTATTACTTATGAATCATGTTAACAAAATATTTACTTTTATATTGCTCTTTTTAATTGATGAATATTTAGAATTTTTATATAAGAGTATATAATCCTTTTTAAAATCACTAATTTACATTGGATACAATTATCATGTAAACCATGTAATACAAATAAGTATTTTCAAAGGTTCTTCACCATAATTTTTCTTAAAAACCTAATCTCATGAATATTCCTAGATTGACCATGAGATTGGTTATTTTTAAAATCCTCTTGCTAATGAAGGCATAATTTATTTTATAAAACATTATTTATAGATAATTTAAATTTTAGATTGTTTTTAACAAATGGCATATTATAAAACTTATAACTTCTTAAAATGTTTTATTTTTATAAATAATTATATATATATATATATATAAATTGATAATTAGAAATCAATATCTAGACTCAATTTTATAGAAGTTTTATATATGTAAAACTAAATATCTCAGAAAATATTCTGAAGTGCATAACCGAACGTTTTGAATTTTATTTCTAGGGCTCATGGAGCATGGATCATCGCGCAAGTCCTCGGTGGTGAGGCCCTTCTCGCTCCGGCTGTCGGCGTCGCTGGTCGAGGATCTCTACGCGCCGATCGCCATGCCGCACCCGATGAGCAGCTCTTCTAGCTCTCAGGAACAGGAAGAATCGCCTCCATCGCCGGTCGATGAGTCGGCGCCACGGGCGAGGAGCCCGGAGGAAAATGCTGGCCCGGGATTTTGTCCAATGTGTGCCACAAGGCGCTCCTTTGGTGATGTCAGCCATGAATCTCCATCCACTTCCAAGGAGAAATCCCCTCCCTGGACTCTAGTAAGTTCCCTTTTTCTACCGTGGAGGGATCTTACGTTCCATTCAGGTTCTTCGCTTCAAAGCCATCAGTGTTACGATGGATCACACCGAAGTTGGTCCGGGCTATGATACCTTTGGCAAGAAGCTACTTGGTTGCCTTCTAGGAGTTTGCATTAAGCTGGCTCGTTCCAAGAAGAAATCCAGCAAGATCAAGGTTCTCAAGGACGTGAGCGGCTATGTGATGCCGGGTTCCATGACTCTTGTTCTCGGTCCGCCAGGTTCGTGACCTTGCTCTTTGTTTCTTTTGAGACCTTTTCCTTCTAAACAGGCAGTGGGAAGAGCACTCTCCTCAAGGTAGCATGGTGATTGTTTGGAGATATGAAATGCTTTGTTTCATATGCTACATTGGCTGTTAATTCTACAGACAGTGGTGATAACAGGTGATGGGAGGAAAGCTACGTCCCAACAGACGACTCAGGCTGGAGGGCGTTGTGCTTTACAACAACGACCCTTTGTCGCCCAGACTTGCTATAAAGCGGCCGATCGCTTATGTGACTCAACACGACAACGTGTAAGTACGCTCGTTGATGTTTCTCAGCGTATAAACTGGCACACTTGCAGGCATTTGCCGTTTTTCACAGTCCGAGAAACTATCGAGTTTGTTCAACGGTGTGCTCTATGGCAGCGTTGTATGCCACAGTCCAATGCTGTACAGGGCCGGGACTCGTACGTGGACTACATCCTACACATGTTTGGTCTCAAAAAGATTGAAAACGAACGGGTTGGGACTCTTGCTGATAGCATCAAGGATAGCGACCGAAACAGACTGGCAACTGCGGAGATTGCTATGGGTACATATTCTGTGTTGCTGTATGATCAGACTAGTTCTGGACAGGACTCGCTTATCACGTATGACTTGCTTCAAATGCTGCAAAGCGTGGTTCACGTACAGCATTGTGCCGCCGTCATATCGCTGGTTCAGATTTCACCGGAATCGTTCGATCTTTTCGACCGTGTTATCCTTCTCAGCGAGGGTGAGGTTCTCTATCAAGGCCCGCGTGAATGCGTCGAGAGCTACTTCTTAAAGCTTGGGTATGTGTTTGGCACACTTTGTTCTTCGTTTTATTTTTGCCTGGCAGGTTCAAGAAGCCCGCTCATGTAGAATCTGGAACATTTTTACAGGATATTGCAGCTGGCGAGGGTGGACAGTATTCACAGCAGCCTTCATCGCTTAGTATTGAGGAGCTTATAAAGTTCTATAAAGGATCGGACTACTATAAAGACGTTTTTCGGCTTGTTTCAAGTGAAAAGGCGACTCAAGCAACCTTATTCAGAACTTCTAGCATTCGTGCTTCGCTGCAAGGGAATGGTATGGAAAAGAATATGTGTTCTTTTGCTACTAAAATGCAGTGATCCGTTGCAGATGTGTTGGTGACGGAAGCTCCGAGTGTAGAAAGTTGTGCTTGCGTTCGTGTTGGCGACAAGGTGACAGGAGTTTGCGAGCGTAATGAAGAATTTCAGTATGTTGAGAGCTCGGATTCAGCTTCGAAAGTCTCCTACATGTTAAAGGCATCGTATAGCTCCATCCTTTTACAGTTGGAGCGAAATCTCGATGAGGTTGGGCATCTCGTAATTTGAAAGTGCCTTTATGTCTTTAGTTTGCAGGCAGGCAATGCTATGTATTATCAAAGACACTTCGGATGGCAACAATTTTGTTCGTGGTGGTTGTCGACCTGGTGTTTGATCCGGCGTCAAACAATATTTGTAATGCGACTTAAGGGATTAGCTATTGTACGACTTCTCCAGGTAATGACAGCGTCCGATTTAGTCATGCTAAATGCTGACTCTTCAGATTCTTTTAGTCGGCTTGTTCACTGGTTCCTTGTTCTATCACAAAGGAGGCAGACTTGATCAATACGAAATGAATTCTATGAGAACGATTGGATTTATATCTATGATGACTTTAATGTTAATCAACATCGTCCAGCTTCCGGTCCATATAGTGTTTCATCGACCCGTTTTCTACAAGCAGCAAGGTCAACACTTATTTCCTGTTTCTTCGTATGTAGTAGCACATGCCATTTTGAACATTCCTCAATCAGTTATAGAGGTATGCTATTATTTTCTCGTATGACTTGAGCGTTGAAAGTATTACAGGCACTGCTTTACAGTTTGTGCGTGTATTTTTTAGCTTCGCTGTCTAAAGAGAAGGCAGCACATTATGTTCAGTACTTAGGATTGATTTTTGTCACTGCTTATTTGGGCTCACTTTGGATGTTGTTGGTAGGTGCCATTGCACCAATGCTGGAAGTAGCCACAACGATGGGAGGTATGTCTTTTCCTGAGATAATGTAGCTTCAGCAACTGTTTTTACAGGTTCATTTGTCGCTTTGAACCTTCTATTTTCGGGCTCCACTATTATTCCAAGTGTAATCAGCTGGTACTGGCGATGGGTTCTATACATTACACCAACTCGTTGGGGAAATGTCATTTTTACATCGACTCAAACCGATAACCGCTATGAATTACCTTGCACACTTTACCGCACGTATCCATTCTGTCTTCTTCATCCAACACTTTCTCTTGGCCAAGCATTTCTCAAGTATTATGAGCTAGAAGCTGGTGGAAAAAGGCTTGTTCTCGCATTCGGAGTCATCGTTGCATATATTCTGGTTCTCATTTATTTGGCATATCTTGCGTACAGCAAAGTCCGGATACAGGAAACGGCATCGGCTATACCAAGGCAGAAACAGTATGTTCGCGGCCCCAACAATGTGGAACAAGCAGAGAACGGAGGTACACGAGCACCTGGGAGGTGGACTTGCAAGTTATCTGTCAAGCCTGTAACGCTCTCCTTTCACCAGCTGAGGTTCACCAGGCGGGGCGTGCGATCTTCTTTTGAGCAAGTAGTATTGGACAACGTCTCTGGCTATGCCAAGCCAGGGACAATGCTAGCAATTGCTGGGGGCACACGGTCGGGCAAGGCAACGTTGCTCAACTGCATTGCAGGCAGGCTACCACCCGGCAAGCTCGAGGGTGACGTTTCTTTAAACGGTTTGAAACTGGACAGACTCGCCATCTGCCGGATATCTGGATTTGCTGAGAAGTTGGAAGCTCACCAACAGTATCTTACTGTCAGAGAGTCCCTGGAGTTCAGTGCAAATCTCAGGCTGGGAAAACAAATCAGTGCGGACGACAAAGCTCGGCATGTGACGGAGGTCCTGGAACTTTTGGGATTGTCAGCTATGAGCAATCAACTTGTTGGCAACTTGAAGCTCGTCACTGCTCGAATCCAGGAGACAAGAAGGAAACTTACTATAGCTGTGGAACTCGCCGTCAACCCCGGCATACTTTTCTTGGAGGATCCCACGGCGCAGCTGGATGGCACTAGCTCCAGAGAGATTCTGAGACTGCTCCAGAGTGTTGCTTTAAGCGGGCGTACTATCATCAGCATGCTGGATCATCCCAGTGGAGAGGCACTCAGCGTGTTTAACGATGTGTTGGTACTAGCTATTGGCGGTCACACAGCCTATTTCGGCCCCGTTGGCTGGAACTGCAAGCAAGTGCTGCACTACTTCACGTCAGTGCCGAGTTCACCACCTTACAACGAGCAGTGGAACCCTGTCACCTACATCCTCGGAGCACTTGGCGGAGGCATAAAGGAGCGAAAGCCATTGCACGACTTCTCTCAGCTGTACCAGTCCAGTTCTCTGCATCAGGCAAACGCGGAGGTACTCGAGAGGCTTCTCAAGCAGCAGCCAGATCCCGAGCTCAAGAACATCAGCTCTCGATACGCAGCTTCGTTCAAGACGCAGGCAGCGATGGTGTTCCTCCGGAACCAGCGTTTCTTATGGAGGAACGTGACATACACACTCCGCCGCCTCCTTGGGACCATTCTCGTCGCTCTCGTCATGGGAACACTCTACCTCAACATCTCCGTGGAAAAGCTGCTGTCCATGACGTCCGCCAGCCTCTTCCCGTATATCCAGCTGATTATGATCTCCGGGCTCACGGCCAACAACGTTATACCGCAGCTCGGAACGGACAGGCTCGTCTACTATCGAGAGAACCGAGCAAGGATGTACTCCCCGATGCTGTATCCGCTGTCCTGGGCCATCGCCGAGGTTCCATACTTGCTGCTCGGCACACTCGCCTTCGTCGGGATTGGAAACGGCCTGGCCAACCTTGCCGTCGACTCCGTGTCCGCGTTCGTCCAGTACTGGATCGGCCTGTTTCTCTTCACCCTGGCCGTGACTTACTTCGGCATCTTCGTCACGCTGCTGTTTCCAAACTCGCTGCTGGCCATGACGGTCTCGTCGATATCGACTTCGGTGTGGGTGGCGTCCTCGGGGGTCTCCATTCCGCGCTACAACATCCAGTTTTACAAGTGGCTCTACTGGATCAACCCGTATCAGTACGCCGTCAATATCCTCACCACGACTGCGTTCCACTGCGACACCGGAACTCCGGCGTGCAATGCTTGCACGATCGGCGCGAGTTGTCCTGGATGCAAGTGCAAGAGGCTGGTCGACTTGGAGAAGAAGCTGGTGCAAATCTATGGGCCGGTCTTCAGCCAGTTCATTCGAGCAAGCTTCGTGTGGGAGAGGCTGAGCAAGGCAAGAGTTCTTGAGAAGCACAGGATTGGGAAGGACTTCCTGGCTCTGGCTTTCATGGTGCTGCTCTTCGCGGTCCTGGCGATCGTATCCTTCGCGCGACTCAAGCACAACAGGAAGTAAAACTCACGACGTTCTCGCGACGCTCTGGGCTATGACGAGAACTTTGGAGGACTATAGTGAGGTATTTTGCAATTTCCTTGGTAGTTTTCTAAATTTCCTTCCTAGATGGTGGACCTTTCACGATTGAGCTCAAGGCTTACGTACTTCAATACGACAATTTTTTTCTTTTCTTTTTTCACTCAGCTTTCGTGCGAAACTTCGGAAGAAAAAATTAAGATCGATGGTGGCGGCTTGCTTGGATATTTGCGAGCGTCGTGGACTAACATCTGGGAAGAAATACTATAATATTTCTAGAGATATGGGAGCTATATATGGAGGTGTTTGAGTTGACTAGGATGTCTCTCTCCTGCCAGAGAGATAGGGCTTTTACGAATTTCAACGCAGTCATGGGAGCTGGAAATCTGGGCCAGGTAGAGCTTCTTCCAGTGATCTCCGCGCTTCTTTCTCCTTGATCTAGGAAATTTGGAGAATTTCTGTGAGAATACAGCTCCCGATCGTCGATCGGGGATGGCTGCCACCGCGGATGATGGCGCTGATGATCGCGGCCACGAAATGGAGGCCGCAAGAATCTCCAATTCCTCGTCCCTCCGCGAGCTCGTCGTCAATGAGGAGCTGCCAAGGGCTGTGAGCCTCAGCATTGCGAGATCGAGCTCGCTCAAGAGCGATCTGGAGCAGTACCACGCTGCGACGGATCCATATGACCTGGTACCAGATATTTAAAATTTTCCTTGTTCTTTTCTTTCTGTCCGGGAAGATCTTTACCAGGCGTGCGTTTGCAGGTGATAAGATTCAAGGGTGTCACTGTGACCGTGAACAGTCCCCAGCAGCAAGCGCAGAGCTATGAAACGTTTGGAAGGAAGATTGTGGGCTGCTTTCTCGGTCCTCTAAAGCTTCTCGCGAAGAAAAGAGATCAACCGAGCAGTGTCAAGGTACTTGACGACGTGAGTGGCTACGTTATGCCTGGCTCCATGACTCTAGTGATCGGTCCGGCAGGTAATTCTCCAAAACTTAACGAACTCTAGCTACATTTTCACGGTTTTTTTCTTTTTTTCTTTGTTCTAGGAAGTGGAAAGACTGCTCTCTTGAAGGTAATTTAGTGGTTTCTTATTACAATGTGACTTATCCATCTTTCTGTGATTATACCAGGTCCTTGCCGGACACTTTCATCCCAGCAAGCTCGTAAAGTTTGAAGGCCAGGTCTTATACAACGACTCCGTATTGACGCCAGATCTCGAGACCAAGCGTCCGATTGCTTATGCTACAGGCCTTCACAACGTGTACGTAATCTTTGTTTTGTTTTCTTCTTGTCTGAACTCCAATTAATGCTGTTCTTTTATCAGCCACTTGCCGGTGCTTACCATTCGAGAAACTCTCGAGTTTGCCGAGAAATGCACGCGACGGCTACGACCGCAGGAACTCACGGCCCAAATGATCAGGTGCTTTGCTCCGGACTTGGCAGACAGCGACAATCCATTCCTGGAATATGTTCTACAGACTTTCGGCTTAAAGCAAATCGAGCATTTGGTGGTCGGGCCTCTCCTGAAGGAATCAGCGAAAGCCAGGCTTACGACAGCAGAGATCGCGATGCGGACTTTTTCAGTCTTTCTATACGATCAGCCAGCAACGGCAGAGGACTCGTTACGCCTTTATGACAGGCTTCATAATCTCTTAGACACAGTGATTCGTGTTCAAGAATGCGCTCTAGTAACTTGCATGGCTCAGGTAGCTCCGGAAGTTTTCGAGCTTTTTGACAGGATCATTATCTTGTCCGAGGGCCAGATGATCTACCAAGGTCCTCGACACGGTGTGGAAAACTACTTCTTCAAGCTTGGGTATGTCTAAACTCTCTTATCTCCTGACGAACTAACTTCCTTGTTGCCTGCCAGATATAAAAAGCCTAGCTATGTCGATCCTGCTGTGTTCCTTCAAGATATTTCTGCGGGTTCTGGAGCTAGATACCTGATGCCTGGTTTTACAAAACTGGGAATTCCGGAGCTTGTTGTATCTTATAAAGCATCCGACCATTTCAAAGACGTCATGCGTATCGTTTCCAGCAAAGACGTGACTCACACTTACATGGCCGAGACTATCTCCGATATTGAGATCTCCATCCAGCATGACACGCTGAATGGCCCGGGTAACGATATGTGTTCCTCTTAGTGTCGACTTATAAGGTTTTGTAGGTGTTTACGTGACAAATGTCTCCGAGGCCGGAGAGATCATAACCAATGGAGCGGTTCGAGTGGGAGACGAAATCACTGCTGTTGTGCTACCTGACGGTAGTACTCACTACGTTAGAGGTGGCTCTCCAGCCGAACAGGCGGCTCAAGCTTGTAAAGTTGCCGACTTGCTAAACTCGAGAGAAGGATCACTTCACGTGCAACTGGAGCGTAAAATGCAAGAGGTGAGAACTCATACCAAATCTTCAGATGTTAATGGTAATCTCATGGAGTTTTCCTGTCCAGAAAGAAACCGGTGCGTGCTACAAAAAGCGGTTTGGATTTGTCAACGTGAAGGACTGGCTATGGTCTACGCAATGCCTTGTGAAGCGTCAATTTACATTTGCGATTCGTTTCAAAATCCTGATCATACTTCGGCTGTTCCAGGTTCGAAAAGCTCTAGACTTTTTCTTAGCTTTCAACAATCGTTTTCGTACAGATTACTGTTCTTGGACTCTTTGCTGGTTCTTTCTTCTACAAGAAAGGCGGCAAGATCGATCAATATGAGATGATTGCGCTACGAACCCTTGGCTTCGTCTCGATGATGGTCTTGATGCTTATAAACCTCACACAACTCCCAATCCACCTCTTGATTCATCGGCCGGTTTTCCAAAAGCACCGCGAGCTGCATTTCTTCCCAGTTTCTTCATACGTCGTGGCTCATGGCCTCGTGAGTCTCCCGCAATCACTTCTCGAGGTAAGAGTCGCTTGATTGTCGGAAGCTTCACACATACATGGTCATTCTCTTGAGCAGGCAATAATCTATAGCATGTGTACGTACTTCCTCGCGGGCCTCTCACTGGAAAATGCTGCGCACTACTTCCAGTATTTGGCGCTGATCTTTGTGATAGGATACATGGGATCGTCGTTCGTGTTTCTCGTCGGCGGATTTGCTCCGCTGCTGGAGAATGCCGCAGCTTTGGCAGGTTTGAAACACCTTTTGACAAAACATTGGGTTTATTTTCTTTCATTCACAGGACTTTTCATCCTCGTGTGTCTTCTCTTCTCTGGCGTGATTTTGCTACCCAGTGTGACACCCGCTTACTGGAAATGGATGCTCTACATCGTTCCAACGCGCTGGGGCAACATCATCTACTCCTCGACTCAGATGAAGACCCGGTACGACCAGCCATGCACGAGCCATCTCAACTTCCAGTTCTGTTTGGTAAACCCAAGGCTCACGCTCGGCCGGGCCTTTATCAAGTTCTATGACTTGGAAGCCTCCGGGGGAAGGCTGGTGCTCGCGTACGCGGCAATCGTCATCTTCATCCTCGCTCTCAACTTCCTCGCATACCTGGCGTACAAAAAGTCCCGCTTGCCGGAGCTGGCGCCATCTCCTGTCAGGAAAGGCCAGCTTCATCCAGTTGCCGACGAAGAAGCTGTAAAACCAGATCCGGAGGAGCTGAGCAGAGTAGAGGACGGTAGCCTCCGCGACGGTCCCGGTCAAGAAGAAGCAGCCAAGTGGATGGAACTCCATCTTCCTGTGAGGCCTCTAGTTCTCACGTTCTTCGACATCACTCTTCCAACAGGGCACCTGAGCCTGATCTCCGGCTATGTCAAGCCAGGCCAGATGCTAGCTCTCGTCGGAAGCACTCGCGCAGGAAAGTCGACACTCCTCAAGTGCCTGGCCGGCAGGATGCCCTCGGAAGGCGAGGTACTCGTCAACGGTGTCCGGCTGAAGAAGACGTGCTTCCACCGCATCTCTGGCTTTGCCGAGAACGTCGAGATGCACCAGCCGTATCTCACAGTCCGAGAGTCTCTCGAGTTCAGCGCCAACCTCCGGCTCAGGCGGCACATAAGCTCCGCCGACAAGGCTCGTCACGTCGATCTCATACTCGAGCTCACGGGCCTCTCCCACGTAAGCAACAAGCTGGTCGGGGTCTTCCAGCAGATAAACAAGCGGCCGCGGGAGATCACCAAGAAGCTCACCATAGCCATCGAGCTGGCAGCAAATCCCAGCATCCTGTTTCTCGACGATCCAACTTCGCAGCTGGACGGAGCCAGCGCGAGAAACGTTCTGCACCTCTTGCAAACGGTGGCCATGAACGGACGCACGCTGCTCGTCACCTTGCACCATCCCAGCGCCGAGACACTGGGCCTCTTCCACAGCGTGCTGGTCTTGCGGGAGGGGAAGCAAGTCTACTTCGGACCACCCGGTACCAACGGCAGCCAGCTCCTCGACTATTTCACGGCCATTCCAGGCGTGCCACCTTACGACCCGCGGCGGAGCCCGATGGTGTTCCTGCTGGACATCCTGGGTGGCGGAACCACGAAGCGGGAGCCCGCGGCGGACTTCGTCTCCGCATATCATAACAGCCCACTGCAGCTCGCAAACGCGGCCGAGCTCCAGTCCCTGCGTGACCAGAAAGACGACGGCCTCCACCATCTCAACTCCCGCTACATCGCCCCCTACAAGACGCAGTTCGCTATGGTGTTCCTCCGCAACGCCAGGTTCCTGTGGCGCAACGTCCGCTACACTTTCAACCGGCTCACGGGCATTGTCATCATCGCGCTCGTCATCGGCACACTCTTCCTCAACATCGACGTCGAGCGGTCCACCTCCATGCAGTCGGCGTCGCTCATCATGTACATCGAGGCCATCCTCATCTGCGCCACCACCGCCAACAATCTCATCCCGCAGCTCGGCACCGACAGGCAGGTCTACGTCCGCGAGAGCCGGGCTCGCATGTACACCTCGCTGCTCTACCCGCTGTCCTGGCTCGTCTCGGAGATCCCATACATCCTCCTGGGAACGTTCGTCTTCGTCGGGATAGCAAACGGGATGGCCGGCGTCGGAGTCGATACCTTCACGATGTTCCTCAAGTACTGGACGTGCCTCTTCCTCTTCACCATGGTGGTGGTGTGCTACGGCGTCTTCCTGGCCTGCGCAGCTCCGATCCCGACCATAGCCGTCACCTTCTCCTCCATCATCATGTCCATGTGGATCTCCTCGTCCGGCGTCTCGGTTCCCAGGAACAGGATCCGCTTCTACAAGTGGCTCTACTGGATCAACCCGTTCCAGTACACGATCAACATCCTCACCCCGACCTCCTTCTACTGCGACACTGGGACCACGGCCTGCTTAAGCTGCGTCATCCGCCAGCCGTGCCCCGGCTGCCACTGCAAGAGGCTTCACGACGTCGAGCAGCTCCTGACCCGGACCAACACCACCCGGCCTGCGTTCGTGTGGGATAGACTGCTGGCTACCAGACCGATCGAGATGAGCCGCAACCACTGGGACTATCTGGCGCTGTGTGGGATGGCGCTCTTCTTCGCGGCGCTGGCGGTCACATCTTTCAAGTTTCTCAAACACAACAGAGCTTGAGGTTCTCGCTTCCTTCAGCGTTATCCTTTTCCAAGATGGTTTCCACCAGGAGAAGGTAACTTAGTGGCCTTTGCTGGGACTAAAGGCGCCAGCGACGAACAGCAAGTTCCTCCTAGAAAACTACAGTGGAAAATAACGGTGTAAATAAGCGTGTAACTACAAAGAAAAAGCGTCTTGTTACTCACTCTTAGTGTGTAGATTGGAGTCGATTTGGTTGGCAGTGTCTTCAACAATCGCAATCTCCTTGTTCTGCACAAACAGAGAATAAGAAAAACAAACACAGAGCTCTCAGCGCTTTAAAAGAAGATGATTAAAATACTCACTTGTCTGCAGTGACTTTAGAGCTCCCGTTCACATCCCACAGTCTGACAGTGTTATCAGCGGAACCAGAAGCCAGAATGGACCCTTCGCCACTGGAGGAAAAAAAATCAAGAAAAAAATCAAGCGTTTTTCTCCAGAGGCTCTTGCTACCTGAAAGCGAGGCTCCAAACGCAGCCGGTGTGACCCAGCAGAGGAGTCACGCAGCGGCTGGATGCCAAATCCCACATCATAATGGCCCCATCCTCGTCACCCGATGCCATGAACAGTCCATCAGGGGACATGGCAATCGACACGATCATCGACCTGTGGCCTGTGAAAATGCGTACACACTCTCCAGTTTGTACGTCCCACAGCCTGACAGTCTTGTCGCTTGAGCCTGTAGCAATATAATTGCAATTGACATGCCACTGCACGCACTGCAAACGCATGCAGCAACTCGCTCAAGTTTATGCGAAGGAGAGAAACGACATAAGCGGAAAGGTAGAACTTACATCCACGTCTGAGAGATGGCCAGCCATTATCCTCAGCGGTTGCAATCTATCCATGGACCACACTCTTGCAGTCCGGTCGTAAGACGCGCTCGCGAAATAATGTCCCACTGGACTATACTGCAAGAGTAGCCGGAGATCAGACCGACTATAAGGCCAAAAGCCTGTCATACCTGAACATCCCAGACGGGATAGTTATGTCCTTTGTAGCAAGCTAAGTTGGCATTCAGCCTGGTGCTCCAAAGGCGTACTTCAAGACAGATAGCAAAACGTTTAGCAAGCTCCTGCAAAGACCAAGATAACTCACTTGTACAATCTCCTGATGCTGATAGCAGTGAATCACCCTCAGGGCTAAAGTCCACACCATATACTGGGCCAGCATGTCCAACCAATCGTATGTAGCTCGAACTGCGACCCTCAAACTGGCCCTTGCCTACAAAACTGACGAATTGGTGTTGGTCTTTTATTTAGAGACTGCTTACCAGCATCCGAATACATTGAAGGCTCGCCCATCTTTACCATGTCCCAGAGCTATAAGAAGTTTCTAAAGTCAATACACGCAACGAATAACAATTATAGACGTACCTTAATTGCCGAATCAGAGAATCCTCCAGCCAGATAAGCACCGTCTGCTGATATTGAAGCACAGTTCAGGCTGCCAGTGGCTCCAAGTTCACCAAATCACTCTCAAAACTCATCATGCATCCAAACCTGTTGTTTGTGTTCACAAATGTGTAACAGCTCACTGATGGCAACGCAGTGCTTCCGAGCTTGACTCTATTACGCAGGTCATCCAGAGCTTGCCGTTCAAAGTCGTCAGTCCTGCAGAGAAGCCAGTTCAAATTCCTCGTGTTGCAGAATTGAAAAGCTTACAGCAGTGGCATCGTCAACTCCGGCTTCAATCGGGGGACAGATCTGGCAGCCGGTTCGGCCTTTAATCCTTTACCTGCTTTGTCCCTTTTCACTTTCTTTACTTTCCCGTCGGCAGCTCGTTTCTAAGAATCAATCTCGTAAGAAGATGGATATCACAAAGGAAAAACAAGGAAATCGCGCACTTTAGCTTCGTCTGTTTCCGCATCTTTATCCGCGTCAGCCTTCTCCAGCTCTGCCGCTATTTGCTTCTCAAACTTATCTTCCAAGGATCCTTCAAGAATCTGCATAAAGAAAATGAAGGTCCAGCCGAACTAAAAAGGAAATTTACCCACCCCCCAGTGAATCTCCTTTTGATTTGTCGCTTCAACCACTGCCTGGACCTTTGCAGGAAGAGAGCTAGATTCATCATCGTCCAGTAAAGCTGCTGGTTGCCCAGGAAGGACTGCTTTCAACAACCTGAAAGAGTTACTCCAATGCAACCGACAAACTAGAGACGACCTTTCAAGTTGATATGTGAATTGACGATCCCAAGCATTAACATTGATTCCGTGCTCTGGAGATATTGCAAAAGTAACTCGAAAGAATACTGCATTTCAAACGGGATTCTGAGCATTCCAGTTGCAGCACGAAATTTCTACCTGGCACATCTTGACGTGTACTTTGTTCTCTTGAAGCGTGCATGCAGTCTCGTTTTCCTACGAATAAACCAGAACCTTGAGACTCCAAGCTCGACCCTTAAAAGGAAAGCTACCTGGAGGTGCTGGGGAGTAATCACTCCCTCTAGTTTCTGAAGATCTCTTATATGTTGCGGTTGATGGTCATCCCGAAAACTTTGGAAGAATTCTCGTGCTGTAACTTTCCCCTCAGCGGGAAAACAACCATGCCAAATGGAAAAGCGTACCTTCTTGCGCGAAACCTTTCGCCACCAATTCCATGTAACAGTGCACAAACACCGGATAGAGTATACGAAGTAGCTCAGTCTACCACAGAGAAAAATTCACAAAACCTTGAAAACAAGCAAGAGCTGCAATAAGAACCTTGTAGAGATCCAGAGACGAGTGAACCCAGTTTCGGAGCTTACTATAACTCTCCTTGTACCGCCCAGCCTCATTGTCAGCTCTAAGAATTTAGCACGCAATGCTGATCAAAACCCTACACGCTAGAGAAGAGACTACCTGGAATGGTTGATAATGTGGCTGATGGCGCCAGACGTATCGCTGTTCTGCTTCTGCTGCTCCTGGAGCAGCGCAATCTCGGCGACGCGGTACTTCTTGCGCCGCAGGTACTCTAGCACGACCTTCTCCTCTGCGTCCTCCTCCATCGGAAGAACCCTAAAACCCCTTAACAATATCAGAACCGGAGTCGAACCCGCAACCTCCTCCGCCCTAGTTAGTCCCAGGCATCATGATGCATCATGCACACATAGCCGACAATGCCAATCAACCTATAGCCGACAAGGTGAGGTGGCGCCTGTGCACCCTGGAAGGCAGGCACGCGCGGACATCATGTCGCACGACTCCCCTCACGCCACATGCATGATCATCATCAACACCATCATGACCATCGTCGCCACCATGATGACAACCATGAGAGAGAGGGCGCAGCGCAGGCAGGAGAAAACGCGAGGCAACCATCATACCGCCAGTGCCAATGTATGATTGACCGCCGAGGGGCGCAACGTGTCCGCCACGTGGCTCCATTCGGCCCAATCACCGGCGGGTATTCCGCGGGGACCACGTGAGTCAGCACCAGTCCGTACCGTTGGGCGGTTGGATCCCATTATGGAGCATGTGGAAGATTCAAAGCCTTCTTTCCTCAAACTAAATCGCCTCTGCTGGCCAACAATCAATCAATCGCGAAAATCATACCAATAGTAAAGTAAAATCTCATGACCATTGTGAAATCTCAAACCAAAAATTTCCAAGATCGATCTCGAACCAAATCTCCACGCCTAAATCAATCGCGAAAATCTCCAATACCAAGTAAAAATAGAAATGTCCTCGATCCATCAAGGTCTCTCCTCAAACTAAATCTCCTCCCGCAACAACTAAATTCTCATGACCATCGTGAAAACCAAAAATTCCTCTCGATCTCGGTCCGTTGAATTCTCAGTCTTCTACGCTTCACCGCTAATTAGTCAAAACTCCAATCCAAGCAGCCGATGGCTATGAACACGTCCAGTCTACCTAGAGCAGTACACAAACTCTCACGCGGGCTTACTTTAGTAGAGTAGTAGTAGCAGTCAGGTATGCCCGCCCTGGTCACGCATTAAATCACTTTTGTAAACACGAGATCCAGCGCCACGCAGTAAGAATGGATAAAAAAGGAAAAGCTCATTCAAAATCATCATCATTCATGGCGATTGCATCACACACACACACGGCCCACTCATCATGATTCGTGCATGACTCATGCATGGCCCATGCATCCCCATGCATGCCCCCATTCAAACTTAAACTTGATTTGATCAACTTGTCTATCTTCATCCTCATTGCTACTCACAAGTCTCGAGTGAGCGAATTCCTGCGAATAATTTACACGAGCGAGCGCAAGAGCGCAAGAGCAGCAAAACAGCAGCAACAGTCCACAAGCAAGATAGATGCCACTGTCCTAAGTACCGCGGAATTTCTTGTACCGCATGTAGAAACAAGCTTTACAAACACACACCACATTGGTGTTGTTGAATCTCGGCACACCTCACGGGTCGCGCACGACTTCCTTCCTTTGCTGGGCTTGGCCCCATTCAAACTGTGGCTGGCGTGAGAGAGAGAGAGAGAGAGAGAGAGAGAGAGAGAGAGAGAGAGAGAGAGAGAGAGAGAGAGAGAGAGCTTTGTGTGTGTGTGAAAGTTTTTTTTGTGCTTGGGTGTAAGTACATATGTATTTCTTGCTGTGTGTGGAAGAAGAAAATTTGTGTGTGTGAATGATTTCTCTGAGCCTGACTCGCTGCTTGCTGACTGATGACTGACCCATCCACTCAACTGACTGTCCAAATTTTTCCAGCCTTTGCTTTTGACTTTGCCAAAGGCCAGGCGAGAGACAAGCCAAGCCCAGCTTTGCTTGCTCGCTTAAAATCGTCCCAAAAGTACGATAGCGATGACTCACAGTTGTTCTTGCTTGCTTGCTGGTGCGAGTGCGAGTGTGAGTGTGAGTGTGTGTGTGTGGAGTGATCATGATCGAACGCGCGCAAGTTGGTAATATATCCAGTCAGAAAGAAACTTTTGGAAACCTTCCACTTTTGGGTCGCCATAGAACAGAGATCGGCCCTCGGATCTATCACCACTTTGCCGCTGGGTCGGGATGATCTTGGATGATCAATCTCGCTTGCTTCGCTCGCGCGGAATCAGCTCTGATAGGCGGCGGGGGGCTGGGAGTGAGGCGCGAAGTGATGGCCGCTGCCCATGGCTCCTCCTGCTGCTGCTTGTTGTTGAAGGTGGTGGGGGTGGTGGGATTTGGAGAAAGATGGTGGGATGTGGCCGGATCTGGTGTCCACCGCCGCCAATCTCTCGCAGGATGGGCACATTGTAAGCGTGGCTGCAGGGAGCGGCATGTAAAAGTCCTGGGAGATGACGCAGGGAGGAGGGACTTTGATGGCGCGGAGCTCCTGGAGCTCCTTTTGGAGCCGCCGGTTCTCCTCGGTCAGCGTCTCGCAGCAGCGCTTGAGGAGCTCGCAGTCGATCTCGGTCTGCTTGAGCTTGGTCCTGCAAGAACAAGAGAAACGAGATGAGCATCGATAGAAACGAGAAAAGTGAGCTTTGATCCTCTCCTACCTTGCGCGACGATTTTGGAACCAGACTTCTACTTGGCGAGGCCTCAAATTGAGATGCTTGGCCAGTGCGTTCTTTTGCTTCTGCGGAGAAAGAAAGAAAAAAGATCCAGTCAGTCGCATAGATCGAAACTAGATGAAACGTTCTTCCCTCTCCACTCACCGGATTGAGAGTGCTGTGCTCTTTGAAACTCTTCTCGAGGAGAGCCGACTGCTCCTTGGATAGGCGGAGCTTCTTGCGCGGAGCTCCATCCTCCTCGTCACTCCCCCTAGAGCTGACTTCGCAATTGGCACGATCGCCAGCATCGCCGTCGCCGCTGGGGCGCGGATCTCTCTCCCTCTTGATGTTGACACTGCTGCTCTCGCCGCCCTTGCGAGCAATGTCGAACGCGAACGCGCCGGCGCTGCCGCCGGGCGACACGCTGCAGCTTCGCGGGGACGATACCCCTCCCTCCACGTCCGCAGGGATCTCATTCATGTCGATGCCGCGCGGCGGCCCCGGCGACGGCCCCCTGCTCGACGAGTGCGTCTCAGGCGCAGCGATTTCCTCGCAATCTACACAGAAAGAAACGAATCATCGGTGAGAAACCCATCAAGACCCATTACTGGGATCGTCAATCTCACCATTGTGGATCCCCGAGCTCGCCGCTCCTCCAAATAGCGACTGCCGAGTGAGCTGCGACACGCAAGAGACGGGCGGTGGCGATTCGGTGTTGTGATTCGACGCTGCCATCGCTGGCACCGCTGGAGCTCTCGGCAAGAGGTCCAGCTGCACTGGAAAAGATCTTTGCTGCTGCTGCTGCTGGTGATGGTGATACTGCGCGGCCACCGCCATCTCGATCTCCTCCCTCCGCACGGCGCAAGAATTCTTGGCCATCGCGAAGCAGCTGCTGGTGGCAGTGTCGAGGCCCAGCGTGAGACTACTCGACATTGCTCGGAGGCGCTCGTGGTGGCTCTCCTCCCGTCGAAACATGGCGGCGCCGCTGCTCCTCCCGCCCACCTCTAGCGACAACATGGGAAGCAAGAACGAGAAGGAACAAGATCTCCCCTCTTCGTTTTCCCTGATCTCTTGTGCTAGCTCGCTAAAACACGAAGAAGGCCGTGCGTGCGTGTGCTTTCACTCCTCACAGCCAAACAAGAAATTTTCAAATCTCTCAACGGAGAAATCTAGAGCTCGCTGTGGCCTGCTAGCGATGATCCCACTGGAAGCTCTCTCGATCGATATGTAGGGTCAAAAACCCTGGACCGTTTGGTTTTATAAAGAGAGGCCGTCCAAATTACCGGGCATTCCCCCTGGCCAAAACAGTGTGGCCACCCGCCCGGCTGTCCACGTCAGCAGCCCAGTAGCCGTTGACGGCATTGACGGACGGAGGCCCAGCCAACGACGTTCCGTTAGGATAACGCGCGGTAGCTACAGGCCACATGGCACAATCGTACCGTACGGAGTCGTGACCATGTGAGTGGGCCCCGGTGGCAGCGTCCACGTGAAGCTGCCGGCGGGGGCGCGAATGATGGGAGGACAGGCGCGCGGCAGCCAATGATGAGGCCGCGATGAGTGGGCCGTCCCCTGACAAGCCGGCGTGTCGAGCGTGGCAGCGTACGGTGCGGCCACGTCAGGTTGTCGGCCTTGAGGGGGGCAGGCCGGGAGCACACACAATCATTGGGAAGAGCATATCCATCCCATTTTTATTCATTCAAATCAATCAAGCAGCGCAACCAAACCAACCAGACCATAGGAAAGAAGAAACCACATATGATTAAACGAGGGAATATAGAAATGCCGCTGCTTTGAGCCTGTGCGGTGGCGGGCTGACTCGAGGCGGATTTGTGATTGCAGCAAGAATACATTAGAAAAATAACCACGCACACGCAACATATGTGGACATGATTCGTACGTATGGTGAAACTTTTTCAACCATACTTTAACCCCATTTTTCTTATTAACCCTTTGGTCCGGGTTGGAAGCAGCAGCCCCCACGCTCTGTTTTTACGGTGGCGGTGAAATGTTCTTGTTCCGTGTGGCTGCCTCCGGGGACAAGAACTGACATTGCTTGCGGTAAATGTGCACAGCAAGGGAGAAAGAATTGTCCCACCCGACCCAGCTCCAACCCCCGCACCACCACCAAAGCGTCCCCACAGAGTCGCAAGAAACTCATCGATCAGAGAATCACGCTTCTACTGCTGGCGTGTTGGTTCCGACCGACCCGACCCAACCGGCCGTCCGACCGACCCAAAAATCTCGTCTCCTCGTCGGAAGGGAAGAATCATAGAGAATTTCTTTCACCGTCACCTTTTGCTTCATCCACACACATGCAATCACTTGGAGTGATTGTTGACAATGGGGGCGGATAGGAAAAACAAAAAAAAAAAAAACAGGAGAGTGGGGTCATTCACTCACACGTCCCCCTTTTTCTTGCTTTGCCTTTTAACTTTTGCTTTGCTGCTGCTCGCTAGTAGTTTGTTGGTTGGTTAGTTGGACCCCACGGCAATTATTTTTGACCCCATGGGTGAGTCCACCACCCCTGAAGAAGTGGAAACAAACATTCGGAAAATGGGAGGGAAATTCTGTGCTCATTGGCCATTGCCGGTAACGTTTTGCTTTTGCTTGCATTCCAAGGTAAAATAGGACTTGTCGTTATGATATCATCAATCAATCAAGCGGTGGTGGAACACTTGGAGATGATGGATGAATTCATTCGTCCGGTTTTGTTCTCTTCCTCTTGGCCTCTTCTGTTGGAACAGCAATACCAAAGATTCAACCAGATGGACGCCCGTGAGGCCTTTCGTTTGTTTTTGTCTGAGCAAGCGAGTGGATGTATGATCTCTTCTAGGCTGCGAGTGTGGACTCATCTCCAACTCGAAAACTTCACCCAGCCTTCAAAAGCCCCGCCTACACGTCGATCTCTCCGTCGACCTTTTAAACAAAGGTAAATGTTGCGCAAGGTGGCAGTCAGTCCTATCCAGCCTTCATTTGGCCACTGCTTCAAATTTGAAGCTCAAAGTTGACGTCGGTCACGAGTTTCGATTGTTAAAAACGAGGAGCTTCATCTCCATTTTTCTCATCTTAGAAAACGAGGAACATGTCAAGCTAAGATTTGTCTTTGCCCAATGAGAGAAACAAAAGGGGATTAAACCATAGATGCTTTCCAAGCAAGAAAGACCTTGTCCATCCTTGTCTGAGCTAGAGGGTCTCGTGTGGGCCTCTTTCCTTTTCCTTTACAGCATTTACAAGGGAGTGAATGAATCAATGGTCTGATCCCATTGTCAATCCCATAATAGATCTGTGTTGGTTGGAGAAGAGAAAGGTGCCTGATGCTCGCTAGCTATAAATTCCCTGGAAATTGATTGAAATCATACACATTCCGCCCCTTTGTTTGTTCCAGTCCCTTGTCACTCATTCATTTCACTCATTTCCTCAAGAATGGTGGATGGATGGACAGATGAAAAAAAAAGCTCTATGATCACACAATGGTAGAGCCCACGCTTTCAATATGTGTAGTTGGAAGAGCACACATACACACAGAACGCAGTAGTCTCTTACACACAACAACCTCATCGTTTTCCCGATTGCTTTTGCTGCTCGCTCGCTTTTGGTACACGCCACGCCAAGCTCACGCCACTGAAAAAAAATACACATATATTTCTTTTCTCATGAAGCCAGTAGCTTTGGTTTTGGTTGTGGTCACCAGCCTACAACACTTTGTACACTGACTGGTTGATTGGGAGGATCCCTCCAAATTGACGTTTATATCTCTTTTTTTATCTCTTTGGACCAACATAGCGATCCAAACCAGGCGATATAAACCTTCGGGAGCAGTGACCAGAGCCAAATTGGTACGCAGGTGACCATACCAGTCGACACAAGCAAGACTTGGAAAAAATCTTCCAGATCGAATCAAAAGAGCCTTGCTAAAGTTCTGGCAATCAACTGTAGAGCTCTCAGGCTCAGCCCATACATGTATAACGTGAAGCCATGATAGTTTGGAAACGAAAGTTTGTGGCCGGCTTGTCGGCCTGAGAGATATGTCGGTGATTCGGCTGCCGGCCGGCGGTCCCCCACTGGCCGGCGACCGGCCCCTTATCATGGGGTCATGAATTATTGGATTTGTATCTCCGGGGTCGAATATGCGCGCGCAACTTGCCCAATGATACAGCAAAAGTGTAGAGAAATGTGGGCGTGTAATGCCAGATGGGGACATTTGGAGTTTGGAGCATATGCATTTCCCCAGAGTTTCTTTCCTTTTCTTTTCCAACACCTCCCAGAGCACAACGAGCTTAGACTACTCAAAACAATTGCAATCACGTTATCATAGTTTTATGACTGGGCATTTTGGGCAAGCAACCCTCACTCACACCAACACCAAAGTGAAACATTAGATTCTCTGTTTGGATTTGTTGCATAATTCCATTTCTTGTTGTCGTTGGTCAGCTTGGGAGCTTGCGGGTGGTGTGGGGTCAAAGTCATGTGAATCATATGAGGTGCCCCGCTTAACTCAAACTTTAATCAGGCTTTTGGCTGCAAACAAAGCCATCCAGAGAACAATCACATGATTGATGCTGCCGAATCATGTCGGGCAGCAAAGCGCAGCCGCCAATCAGAGGATGCCAAAATCTAAAATAATCGCGAGACTCACCCAATCACCCAAAAGTGCACGTGTGTACCTGCGTGCTCGCGACGGTCTTTTCTCCATTTCTTAGGTTTCAGACGAGCCACTCCACTCCACTGGGAGTTCTAAAACACCTCGACAAAGACTTAAAGAATCAACGAAAAGTTAGCTCTAGAAGATGCATCACCAAGACACTTTAGTTCTTTCTTATCCACAGGAGTGAGAGGTCTTTCTCGATCACATAGTAGTAGTCGTAGTAGTAGGGAGGGCGATTCCTATGGGTGTCTTTTCTTCCCTCTTTCTTCCAATTTTCAACACCACATTCAATCAATCGCTCGATTCCTTCCCAGAGCTCTTTAAGGGGGCATTTCCCACTGCATGGCAGCTTTGTAAGGTACTTTGGTTGGCCAGCAACACATTCTAACCTTCCCGCCTATCCAATCCATTACACACTTGTACGCAAGACACGCAGAAAGGTAAAAAGGTAGTGCCTTCTAACCTATTATATCGTGCACCCATAACATTCATGGCCATTGTCATAAGCATATGCTCTTGTCGGCCATGGGCATGGAATCCCATGGCATGCATGGCCGCGAATAAATGCCCACATACATGCTATCCATGCATCCACATGTTGGTACATAAATGCATCCCCTCCAACCCAATAATGCACGCCAATAAATATCGTTCGTTCCCACGTTACCGGTGCCGGGAAAGCAAGAAATTGAGATTCCTGGCTGGCACTGACCGGCCGGTTGGTAGAAGGAGTGCTCTCCAGTGCCACGTCACCTTGTCGCGGGCCAGGGCGACAGCCACCCCTGACGGTGACTGTGACGGGGAGCGACCCCTCCGGAGGCCCGCGGTCAAATCAGTCAGCCATTTTAAACGCCATCATGAGGTGATGTGTACGTAGCTCGGAGGGCATCATACGGTAGAGTAGCGTAGATCACGCTCCGATTCCGGGGAATATCCCTGCCGTACAGAAAAGTACGCGATCTAGTGATCACCTTGAGTGAATGCTGGAGAGCAGCACGTACGGCGCCGAATCCTTGAGCTCCATGTTGAAGACCTTGCCCGCTGCTTGAGCCCCGCGCTGGGAATCGTGGTGCATCTTGCAGCCATTGAGAAGCGCGAGCCACACGGCGTCGTCCTTGAGAGGCATGAGCTTGATCACGTCCTCGGCCTCGTTGAGCCAGCCCGCACGGCCCATGAGATCGACCAGGCATCCGAAGTGCTCCACGTCCGGTTGGATCCCATACTCTGGAAGCATCGATCCAAAGCACTTCACCGCCGGCTCCAGCAGCCCCGCATGGCTGAAGGCGTAGAGAACATTGACAAAGGTGATAGGGTTTGCGCCGATACCCTCCTGTTGCATGAGGGCAAAGGTGTCCACCACCTCGCACACATGCCCACGCTGGGCATATGCCGCGAGAAGAGTATTCCAAGTGATGATATTTCTACACGCCATGCTGTGGAAAATGCCCTCGGCGTCGTTGACTGTGCCGCATTTCGCGTACATGTTGAGGAGCGAGGTCCACAGCACGACCCCAGACTCGGAGGTCAACGGGGCGGCGCCGCCTACCATGAGTGTGTGGATTGTCCTCCCCTGCTGCAGCGCCCCCGCAAACGCACAGCCCTCTAGCGCGCTCGCGAGCGTCACGCTGTTGGGCTTTACACCCTCGAGGCTCATCTCCCGGAACAGCAGCACCGCCGACGCGCCGTGCCCGTTCTGGGCATTTGCGGCGATGACGGCGTTCCACGAGACGAGGTTGCGGACGAGCATCGCACGGAAGGCGGCGGTGGCGGCGTCAACGCATCCGCACCTGCCGTACATGCTCACTAGTGCGGTGCCGACCATGACGTCGGTCTCCCAGCCGCGGATGCCGGCGTGCACGGATCGCCCCAAGGAGAGGTCCGCGGGGGCGACACACGCCGACAGGATGTTAAGGAAGGTGACGGAGTTGGGACGCACCGGCGAATCCCCGCTGCTCATCACGCGGTACACCTCGAACGCCTGAGCGGTATGCCCGTTCTGGGCATACGCAGCCACCATGGTGTTCCAGGCCACCACATTCCGCTTGCGGGGGGGCATGGCGTCAAAGGCGTGCCGCGCGTCTTGTGGGCAGCGGCAGCGACCGTAGACGTGGATCACGGCCGTGAGGACTTGGCAATGGGAGTGGAAACGCGTGTGGAGGATGCGCGCGTGGAGCGAGCGGGCCTCGCGGACGCTTCTCGTCGACGCAAGAACTCCCAAGATGGTGATCAAAGTTATCTCGTTGGGCCCCATCCCATCGCAGTCCATTTGCCGGAAGAGAACGAGCGCCTCGGAAAGATGCCCATTCTGGGCATATGCCGCGATGAGGATGGTCCACGAGAAGACGTTCCGTACGGGGAGGGAGTCAAAGGCTGTCTTGGCGTCGCGCACGCTGCCGCAGCGGCCGTACATCTGGACGACGAGATTGTTGAGCACGACATTCTTGTCCTGCCCCGAGGAGACAATATACGCGTGGACGCGCTTGCCGTAGGAGAGGGAGCAGTGGCGGAGGAGGGAGGCGTAGTTATCGAAACTAGGCGATGGGAGCTCCAGTTCTTGCGGATCATCCGAGGTGTGCTCCTGGCGGGCGATCGAGTTGTCGCGATCCACGGGACCTGGAAGCGCCGTGAGTAGTGAGCAGTGGACGCAAATGCCCATTCTGGGCAAATGGAGAAAACTTTAGCCCTCTAGAATCGAGCCATTTGCCACGCGATCGAGACCACAATGTAACGAATAGCTCCAAAACTTAAAGCACGGTAAGAATTGGACTGTCCAAGAGAATGGCCAGCGAAAGAAAACAAAAGGGCGCTAGCGTTTCTCCTCGTTCGTCTCGTGCCGATCGTGGATTATAAAAGAATGGGACGCTTTGTTAGTCTCAATGATAAGTGGAATGGAAGTGGTGTTTCTTCTGCTTGTTTTATTAGGGCAGTGTTGTTACGCTGCTTACAACACTAACGCGAGCGTTGTCGCCGGGAAGCTCAACGTCCATCTCGTTGCTCACAGTCACGACGATGTTGGGTGGATCAAAACGGCGGACGAGTACTATGTAAGTTTTTAATCAAGACCAAGAGAGAAAAAAATGGCTTGTTCTCTCTTTCCCAGGACACTGTTAAGGGCATTCTTGACTCAGTCCTGGCTTCCCTGCAAGAGAACCCGGACAGAAAATTTGTGGAAGTTGAACAGGTTTGGCTTTGCGATCGCGAACTTAATTCTTTTCCCAATGGTAAAAATGCTGTTTTTTTCAGGCATTCTTTAGCAGATGGTGGAACGAGCAGAACTCTAGCATTCAGGGGGTCGTGAGGCGGCTTGTCAAGTCTGGGCAGCTCGAATTTGCGTAAGTAGCATCTGATCACTTTGTTTAGTTCGGTTCTACTATTTGAGACAAAACTTTGTGAATGCTGGTTTTAGAAATGGTGGATGGTGCATGCACGATGAAGCCGCGACTCACTACGCGGATATGATCGATCAAACTACACTCGGTCACAGGTTTCTCAAGCAAGAGTTTGATGTAGTTCCTCGCATTGGATGGCAAATAGACCCGTTTGGACACTCCGCCGTGCAAGCATATCTCCTAGGCACTGAGGTGAGTTTGCAAAGTGACAAAACTTCTCTGAGTTTCTCTGTTTCGAAAATTTAAACACTTGTTTTTTGTTTTTACAGCTTGGCTTTGATGGTCTGTTCTTCGCAAGGATCGATTATCAAGACAGGCTTAGGAGGACCCAAGACAAGAACCTCGAATTCGTCTGGGAAGGATCAAACACCTTGAAGTCTGACAACCAGTTGTTTACGAGTGTGTTTCTTCGCCACTACAAGCCCCCAAAAGGATTTAATTACGAAGGAAGCGGTGGAATTATCATGCAGGTATTTATGTTTTACTATATCTTTGCTCCTTGTAGAGTTTTTCCTATGTCCAGGATGACCCTTCCAAAGGCGCTACGAACATAGAGGAGCGTGTAGAAGCGTTTGTAAACGCAGCCAAGGTGTATGTAAGTTTTTCCACCACCATATCCATCAGAACGGTCTGATTTAGTTGTTCCACAGGCAAATGCGACTCAAACAAATCATGTCATGTGGACGATGGGAGACGATTTCAAATACTACCGCTCTGCAGAGTGGTACACTGAGATGGACAAGCTGATCCACTACGTGAATAAGGTAACCGCGATCATCTAAATCGTTTTCTTACATTTTTTTGTCAGGATGGTCGAGTGAACGCTCTGTACTCGACGCCATCCATATATCTGGATGCTAAGCACGCAGCTGATCAAGTGTGGAATGTCACAAAGAATGACTTCTTTCCGTGAGTAAAATTGAGATATTCCAAGAGCTTTAGACTAAGAATTCTGATTCAGATACGCGGACAATAAGGACTCGTTCTGGACAGGCTACTATACCAGTAGAACCGTCTTGAAGGGCTACGTTCGTGCTCTTTCTGGTTACTTACAGGTACGTGCTTTTCCATCTTAGAAGCCTGTTTAACGCGAGAAGGAAACTATCGACAGGCAGCTCGGCAACTGGAGGCCTTGACAGGAAAAAGAGACCATCCAAACACAGATAATTTGTGGCGTGCCTTGAGTGTTGTACAGCATCACGATGGAGTGAGTGGCACCGAGCGGCAAAAGGTGGCTGACGACTATGCTAGACTACTTGCTATCGCAGCTTCCGAGGTTTGTGCTTGTGCTGTGTTTAATCTCTTCCCTGATGTTCGATCATATCACCATCCATTCGTGCAGGCTGAGAAATCAATGAACTTGGCTGCTTCTTGCTTAGCAGCCGGCGTTTCTCCATCCGACTGCCTCAGAAAGAACGTTTCTTCCGACGCCGTTCAAGTGAGTTTACCATGGCCCTTGAAACTTATACTAGCCTGATTTTGTTTCAGTGTCCTCATCTCGATATAAGTTTTTGCCCCTCGTCCGAAAACATTACCAGTGACAAGCCTTTGGTAAGAGTAGCTTTTATTGCTTGCTTGGCGCTGCTTAGCTTTCTATATCATTCAGGTTGTCACTGCCTATAATCCTCTTGGATGGGCTCGTGAGGAGTACATTCAAATACCGGTAAGTTCTCTCGACATTTCATTATCGTAATCCTTCTCGCGTATCCAAAGTCATTGTTTGTTCTTCTACCAGGTGAGCTCCAACGCTCTTATTGTCACAGACGCTACTGGCAAAGCAGTGGACTCACAGCTAGCACCCATCAGTGACGCAACCAAAAAGCTTAGAAAGCTTCATGCCGAGCTAGATATCGGCGTAATACCAGAAGACGAAACTCTTTACTCGCTCGTCTTTAAGGCAGTGGTTCCTCCTCTTGGCTTCAGCTCCTACCTTGTCAAGCCGTCCAAGCCCAATGAAAATGGCAAGTGGTTCGGTTTCTTGCATGTTTTCGGATTAACGTTCTAAGTGATCGATGCAGGTTCAGCTGGAAACTCTAGAGTATATGAGGCAAATATTACGGATTCGTCGACTGAGTACTTTTGGTACACTGGCCAAGTTGGAGGCCAGGTATTTCTTTACGTGATTTTTTAGTGCCATAAACTTTTACTTTTACTCTTCTTTGATAGAACTCTGGTGCATATATCTTTCGACCAGCTGATAACAATCCAACTCCAGTAACATCATCTGTAAGCTCCTTGTTCTTTATTTCATTCCGAAGTTTTATTTTTCTTTTGCTTCAGGCTTGGCTGGCTGTGGAGGGACCTTTGTACAAGGCACGCCGACGACAAGTTTCACCTTGGATTTACGAAGTGAGGCATTCTTTTTTGCTTCTACATCTGAAAGTTCTTTCCAGGAGCATCGTCTTTACAATGGCGAAACCCATAATGAGCTTGAGATCACGGTACATATTAGTCGTCCTTGCGGAATAGCGTTTTATGTTTTGAGATTCTTCTATGCAGGTTGGCCCCATTCCACTGGATGATGGCGTTGGAAAGGAAGTCATTGTGAAGGTCAAGGCGAACACAACGAGCAATAGCAAGTTCTACACTGATTCAAACGGCCGGGATTTTCTAGAACGAGTACGAGTTTCCATGAAACTTTCGAACTAAACATTCATTCTTTGCATGGACGCTTAGGTGCGATCAAAGCAAGTGACTCAGCCCGTTGCTGGAAACTACTATCCCGTAAGTATTCACTTCTCTTTTTGGCACCGTAGTTTCTTAATCGTTGTTTTTCCGCAGGTAAACCTGGGAATTTATATCAACGATAACCAAACGGACTTGTCACTTCTTGTCGATCGAGCTTCAGGAGCGTCGAGTACCAACGATGGTGAAGTTGAGCTCATGCTTCACAGGTATTCATTTGATTCCAAACGCGTGTTTATCGTCGGGCTTTCACGCAGACGTCTAATGGCCGATGATGAAAGAGGAGTCTCCGAAGCTTTGGACGAGCAAGTTTGTATTGGGTCACAGGAATGCGAAGGTCTAACGGCAAGTAAAAGTCTCATTTTCGATCATTGTCTCAACATTTTCTGCAGGTTAGACGGATGGTTTACGTAAATTCGGGTCCCGTCAAGGAAGCAAGCCGATGGCGTCGTCTCAAAGGCCAGAGAATTTACTCTCCACTCCAGCTCTTTTTCAGCACTCCGGTAGATGATTATTTCTAGTTTGTTGTTTCTAACTTGTCCACCATGATCTTGTCTCAGAGTGGACAAAATGTTCCTAAGCAATTCTCGATGGTAAAGAGTGGATATGCTCTTCCAGACAATGTCGCGCTTCTCACAATCCAGGTTTTCAAGAAGTAGCAAAGTTTTCTCCAGGTGTATAACCTTGCTGGTTTGATTTTACGTAGGAGCTGGAGGATAAATCCATCCTCGTGAGGCTGGCTCACTTGTTTGAGGTACGCAAGAACCTTTCCATCTCAAAAAAGACCAGCTTTTGACAAACGAAATGGCTTGTTTCTAGGCCGGGGAAGACGATACCCTGTCCAAGCCGGCAAATGTACAACTCAAACAGCTCTTCTGGCACTGGGAGGTATTCGTGCTCGAGTTTTCGATTTCGATCGCTTAAGGATTAACTCTTCTTCCAGATACAAGGAGTGAACGAGCTCTCGCTGTCAACAAACCAAGACAAGAGCAGCATGAAGAGGCGTATGGAATGGAAAGTGGCCGAAAAAAGCGAGGGTGGAGCCAAGCGTGGAGCTCGGATCGACCAAAAGTCGCTACTTGTGGAGCTCGGGCCGATGGAAATTCGTACCTTGCAGCTCACTGTCAAGCCAAAGAATGTCGTAACATTGATTTGACCCAAGTATGTCACAACATAGATGGCTTTCCAAATTGTAGCAGTGTTCTTTCGTTACTATGGAAGGTTCCACTGAAAATCTCGCGCTCTCGATCGCTATGAGCGCTTGTCACCATCTTTGATCCAAACAGGGACTCCTCGCTCCAATCCTCCACGGGAGATTACATGGAGCAATCATGAAATTCTCTACTTTGTCCGCGAGCAACTTTGCGTGCTCTTCTCCTTCATCGCTCTCTATCGAATTCAAGCAGCAAAACCTTGAGAAATCCAAAAGCCGTGCGTCAATCCTGGCAGAAAAACATACCTCCTCTTCCAAGCAGCGCGCCACCTCACGCTTGAGACCTTTGCATTTCCCCAAAAAATTGGCGGCCGCGGCATGCTCCTTGTGGCAGCGCAAGAGGGAGGTGATGATCTGAGAGGCGACGCGTAAGGAGAAACCTACGCGCGCGATTGCCTACCTTGGCGCAGTGTGGATGCTGCTGGAGAACAAGTGGAGGCTGCATTCTTCGCCCACCAAGAACCCTAATTTTTTATAAAGAGAGCGCTCATACTTTCCACCACACATTCACTTTACTATCATAAATTCCACGCTTGGGATCTATCTCGCGATCTCGATCGCTCTGAGCGCCCGTCACCATCTTTGATCCAATCCGAGCTGCATTGATCCAATCGGAGCTCCGATTTGAGCTCACGCTCGCGAGAAAAACTTAAAATGTGTGTGGCGGGCGACTGGTAGCACGTCACACATAAATCTAGGGCTTATTGTCCTCTTCCCCTCTCGGCTATGGCGGGAGGCGACAGGGAGGACGCCTCCTCGCTCCAATCCTCCGGTGGCGCTGGAAATGTGAGCGTCGGCGGCGGTGACGGAGGAGGCGGCGGCGTTCGCAGCTTCGTCTTGAAAGCGGCATGTCTGCTGGGTGGTGTTCTTCTGCTCCGCAAGCTCACCAAAGCAAAGACGCGGTGGGATCACACTCGTCTCGTCGCCGATGCTCTCACAGGCGAGAAAGTAAGCGAGAGATCACCCTTTCGATCTTTCCATCGCTTTGTTTCTTCTTGTCTTCTTTGTTCTTCCCATTATCTTTGCTTGTGTGATCATTTTGTTCCACTTTTCTTAGAGGTTGCTTTTCGTAGTTTTCCCAAGAGCAAGCGGCAAGGGATCCAATGACGTACTTCAATCTCAGGTAAGCGCGCTGGTTGTCGAGAACAGGAAGAACATTGAAAAGCTTTTGATCGCAGGATGCTGGCATGCCCCGCGACTGTTCTGGACGATGGAGCGAAAGTTCTCTACTTTGAACAGGTGCTCTTCTTGAGTATTTTTGGTTTTCATGCACTGAAACAAGAAAAATGATATTTTGCGTTCTTCCAGGCATTCTGGAGAACACCTGATAAGCCATATAGACAGGTAGGCGCACAAACAACGCTTTTATGTATCAGATCAGAGAGTTCTTTCATTTTCTCTCCAGAGATTCTACGTTGTGAGGCCCTGTCCGAAAGAAATGAAGTGCGATGTGGAGGTAAACACGTCCAGTGTTGTGGAGTAAAACTTTCAAGTTTTTCGATCGCTGCAGGTTGGATCCTACGCTGTTCGTGACATTGAGGAATACAAGAACTTCTGTGAGAGGCCAAAGGATCAGCGACCACAGCCGGAAGAGATCCCTGGAGTAAGTCACAACAAGCCTTTCGAGCTGGGAAAACAATTCACCTCTTTTGTTTGGATTGTCAAGGACATCTCCGAGCATTTAACTTCCGTCTATCTCTCCGCCTGTGCGCGAGGCCAACGTTGTCTCTACGAAGGATCAACACCTCCCGGAGGCTTTCCAAACAACTGGGTAACGAAAAAAAAAGCCTTTTTTTTTTCTAGAGTTCTTCACATTTTCCTCTTCGTTTCTTGGCAGAACGGTGCTTCCCGGTGCACATCCGAGCTCACAATCCTCAAAAGTGGAGAGATCCACTGCTGGGATCGCGCCTACGACGACGAAGGAAATCAGGTTCCTCAAAGTCTCTCTCGATTCTAAAACTTGCGTTTTTCTTTCTCTTCGTTCTTCTTTTTCTTTCTACGCTTTGTTTGTAGGTGTGGGGTGTAAGACAGGGGCCATACGAATTCAAGCCTGGAACCTCCAAGAACAGATCTTACGTTGAGCATGACACAGCGTCCCTTTCCATTGACAACTAGAAACTAAGATAGTGTGCCTTTTGTAACATAATAGATTTTGGAATAATCCTACTCGAGATTGGGTTTCTAGGGTTCTTGGATTGATCGGCAATGGAGGACGAGGAGGAGGAGCTCGCGCGCGCCGATGCCGACGACGAATGCGACGACGATGACGACGCCGCTGACGATTCCTCCTCGGCGCAGGAGGCGATCGATGACGAGGATGAAGAGCCGCGCCTCAAGTACAAGCGCCTGGGAGGTAGTGTTCCCTCTCTTCTCTCCAGCGACACGGCCTCGTGCATCAGCGTCGCCGAGCGGATGATCGCGCTGGGAACGCACGGCGGCAGGGTGCATTTGCTGGATTACCAGGGAAACCAGGTGAGTCTCCTATCAGTTTTTTTGGATGGAAATGGAATGGAATGGGATATCCAGGTGAAGGAATTCGCTGCTCATACTGCCACTGTGAACGAGCTGAGCTTCGATAGCGCTGGAGAGTTCGTGGGGAGCTGCAGTGACGATGGATCCGTGGTGGTGAGCAGCCTGTATACCGACAGTCACGAGAAGTTCCACTACCACCGGCCAATGAAGGCCGTCGCGCTGGATCCAGACTACTGCAAAACAAATCGTTTTGCTGGCGGGGGACTGGCAGGGCATCTCATTCTCAACAGCAAAGGCTGGTTTGGTCCCAAAGATCAGGTAGCGACACTTGTGAAGATTACTCTGCTCTCTCCATTTTTCTTTCATTCTTCAAAGCTTTGTCACGATCACTTCGGTTTTTCTACACCTTTTCTTTTGTTCTTTTGCAGGTGTTGCACTCGGGAGAGGGTCCCATCCATGCTGTCAAATGGAGAACGAGCCTTATCGCGTGGGCGAATGACGAGGGTGTCAAACTGTTCGATACAGCCTCACAGCAGCGCCTTACTTTTATTGAGAAGCCGAAGAACAGTCCAGACGCCGAGTACTTGCGTCCCCATCTAGTTTGGCAGGTTCGTGCTCATCATCTTTGGTATTTCTTCCGTATAGCATATAGTTTTTGTTTTCCAGGATGATGTGCACCTGTTAGTCGGCTGGGGAAATTGCATCAAGATTGCTGCCCTCAGAGTGAGGGGAGCTGACCTTCCTGGAGGCCTCAACTCCGAAACATTCTCTTTTGGGAAAAGGTTCAACCTTCTGCCGGGGACGAAGTATGTCGAGATTGTATCAGTTTTGCAAACTGAGTACTTTATTTGCGGCCTGGCTCCGTATGGAGGCGCTCTCGTGGTCCTTGCTTACATCGAGAGGGAGGGCAGCAAAACGGAATCGGCAACGGGCTACTCTCCGAAACAGGTACATGACTTTGCTATACTTTCAGTACGTAACGTTAAACTACTAACTGTGCTAAGACAGGACATGCCCAACGGCCTGAAGTATGCATCTTGAACTGGAAAAACGAAGAACTGGCAACAGATGCGCTCTCTATGCATGGTTATGAACACTACAAGGCTAAGGATTACGAGCTTGCTCACGCTCCATTCTCTGGTACGATAAGATTTAAAAAAGCAAATTCATTTGCGTGTCGTGTGTAGGAAGTAGCACCGCTGGTGGCCAGTGGGCCGCTGGGTACGAGCCTTTGTACTACATTGTGTCTCCAAAGGACGTGGTTGTTGCTCGACAAAGGTTTGGCTAGAACTATAAATTGTACAGGCAGCTGATTCTTCTGCGCAGGGATGCGGACGACCATGTTCAATGGCTTCTCAAGCATGGGTGGCACGAGAAAGCACTGGAAGCTGTAGAAGCTGGAAATGCTCGTGTCGAGCTTCTGGACGAGGTGTGTTCTTTTTCACGGTAAAAGGCGATGGCCAATGCGTGCCCGTGCAGGTTGGTGCGCAATACTTAGATCACTTGATCCTGGGGAGGGAGTACGCGCTGGCAGCTTCTTTATGTCCAAAGATCTTGCGTGGTAGTGTTTCGGCTTGGGAAAGGTGAGGCCGCTATTTTTATTTCTGCAGATGTTCAGATGAGTAAAAGCAGGCGGGTATTTCATTTCGGCCAATTGAGACAGTTGCACGTTCTGGCCCCATACATACCAGTTGTCAATCCGCAGCTTCGCGATACTGTATATGAGGTGAGCTTCCGAATGTGCAGCGTGAGCTCTAACATGGACTTTTAAAAGTTTTAAGGTTGTCCTTGATCGGTTGCTTGTAAATCCGGCGCACCATGAGCAGTTCTTGGAGCTAGTTCGAAGCTGGCCCCAACACATTTATTCTGTACCCACCATTATATCTGCCGCTGAGATACAATGCAGTACCGGCGGAAAAACTCCTTTCTTACTCGAGGTAACCACTGCCTGTTGTTTGAAGAGCGTAAGCTGATCCAGTGAGGATGAAGGCGCTTGCGATTCTTTACCTTTCTCAGGGACAGCTTGAAAACGTGCTGAAGCTATATCTCGAGGTATAATCATTCAAATTTACTTGCGATGTTAACTATAAATTGTGTTTTTGCAGCTGCAAAAGCCCGCAGCGTTCGACATTATCGAGGAGCACCATCTTTATGATGCTCTTCACGGCAATGTAAGTTACATGTAAGCTACATGTGTAACCTCTGATCCATGTTGCATTTCTATTTTCTGATCAGATTGCCCTTCTAATGAAGCTGGATTCGAAAAGAGCCATTGACTTACTCGTTCAACAAAGGGACCGAATTAGTGCGAGCGAGGTGGTTTCCTCTTTAGAAAACCTGCCTCAGAAAGAGAGCCGCCGGCGTCTGTTACATGACTATTTGCATACTCTGTTCGAACGAGACACAAATGCTGGAAGAAAGTACCATGATTTACAGGTTTTGAAATTTATTTTATGGGAAGCTATAGACTATTGAATTTGTGTGCAGGTGGAATTGTATGCTGAATTTGAACCACGGCTATTGCTGCCTTTCTTGCGTAGCAGTCAGTACTACAGTCTTAATAAGGTACACATTTGTTCATCTTGTTTTTTAAGATGTAGTATATGTTTTTTACAGGCGTACGACGTTTGCACAAGGTTAAATCTTGTAAGGGAAAAAGTTTATTTACTGGGGCAAATGGGAAATGCGAAAGAAGCTTTAGCTCTGATTATCAATGAACTTAAGAGCATGCAAGCTGTAAGTCTTTACAATGAATTTATTTCCTACATGTAAACTCACAATGATTTTCTTCACTACAGGCTGTGGAGTTTGTGACATCTCGCAACGATGATGATTTATGGAACGAGCTTATCAACCAGAGCTTGCGCAATCCAGATATGGTCAGTATAACTAGGTCGATCCTCTTATATTGATACTCACACGCTGGCTGGTGCACAGATTGGCGCGCTTTTGGATCATACCGTGGGAAATATTGATCCCATGCAAGTCATAAACAGAATTCCCAAAGACATGCCAGTGCCACGGTACGATATCTCGCCGTGACGAGGCACAATCTCCGTTGACATTGCGCTGTTTTGCAGTTTGAGAGACCGGCTGGTAAAGGTGATCACAGATTACAAGACGGAGACATCGCTCAGGGGCGGTTGCAATAACATTCTCAAGGTGTGTGTATCCGCTAACAGATAGAGATCCTAGCTCTAAATTCCTCTCTTCCAGGCCGATCGTCGCGATCTACAACTGAAGCGCTACAGCTCCTCCAGGACGGCAGTGGTTGCCGGCAAGAGCCCGTGCTGTATATGCTCGGACCTCCTGGCAAGTCAAAGAGTGGCAGTGGTAACCTTCTTCTGCGGCCACTTTTACCACGTTACGTGCCTCCAGGACTCATCAGTGGCTACGAGTCCTGGCCGATCACCGGGCAGCGACGAGGAGCAAAGCGAGCGGTGCATCCTTTGCACTGAAGGAAGTCACAAGAAGCAGCAGCAGCAGCAAAGCAACAAGGCGACGAACGGCAGCGCGACCAGTATTACCAGTACTCCAAACGCAAACTTCCTGGGGTGAAAGCGTTCTAGAAAGAGAGATGGAAGTGGAAGGAGAGTACAGAGGTGCCGAAGGAAAAATAAGAAGAGTACCGGCGCTTCTTTGTTGTATCATCGATTACAATAAACAAGGGAGGACGACGTCTCATTTGTTTTATGGGAACTTTTGGGGATGCTCATTTGTGGCTTAAAAGACGGGCATGTGATGCGCTACCAGAAAGCGAAAGGAATCTCAAATGCTTGCTTGCTCTTTTTTAACTCGAAAAGGTGGCGCTGATCTTTCAAGGTGAATGAATATACATATCCGAAGAAAAAGAAACAGGATAAAAATACGTTTAAGCAACTTTTTAGTGCATGGAATGGATGGCGGCGGGTGTCCTGCAAAAGCTTACACAAATTGCCCGATTGGGAAGCTGTGCCAGCCCAAAGAGCCACGCCTCCGCCACCTTTTTCCATGTTACCACCTTTTGGCAATCACGCTTTGGTTTGGTGTATACGTAAATGCGTATGTACGCAGGCTACAGTCGGGTTTCGCTTTCCACGTTTTGTGTTGTGTTTGTCAAATTCTTGGTCGACCGATCGGCTGCGTAGGTGGCGTGGAAACAGGTCGGCTTTGAAAAAAAAAGGAGGGCTCTTGGCCGGCGGCAGTGCCCTACCTTCGATGCGATTCGAATATTACACGCTTGTTTCCATGGTTGGTTGGTTGCGCAACTTTAAGCCGCCCCACATTCAACAGGATCATGTGTTTGGTTGCAAAAGAAGATAGAAGAAAAATGGAAGGGGAAAAAGGGATATTTCTTTATAAACTTTTTTGTTCTGACCCTTTCAGCTGATAAGACCATTTTGTCCAAAGATACAAATCCCAAGCGCGGGCTTTTTGTTTGGGGATTCAATCGCATTCGGGGCATCCCACTTCCCAATAACATGTCATCATCTTCTCCTCCTCCTGTAGGTGGTGGTGGAGAGGAGCATAGAGGCGTGGAGAGATTTCGATTCTAGGGCTTGACTCTCTCTCTCTCTCTCGGCCAAAGACCAAGAACAAAATGTCAACTTTGCTCGCAAATCCCCACGAGAACATTTGAAAACCACTAGTAGACAAACGCTGCTCAAAGAGCCTTTGAATCATGGGGCGCCCACTCATGTTACCATACAAAAAACTATACAACAAAAGTTCTTCAAATCGATTCTACCCTCTCCAATTAAGATATCAATCAATCAATCACTCCAATCGGTCAATCAATCTTCTATCCGGCCTAAAACAAATCCTCCTCTCATTCCTTGAAGAAAAAGCAGCAAAAAAAAAAAGATGGAAGGGTCAGCCATTACCAGTACGGACGGCGCACGGCGTACGGCTGCGCCGCAGGAACCTGCCGGCCCGGTTTCCGACGGGGATTCGGACCGACAGCCCGCCGGCCGGCACGCGCGGGCAGACTGACAGGTGGCAGATACCGGCCGCCACGTCGGACGGCGCCCCGCCGTCGCCCGTCACATCCGGCGTTTAAGAGCCTCCGTACGCCAAATGTGCGTCCGTCCGTTGATTCCCGGCCCTGGACGGTAGGGGTTTCGCCACGTCGGTTCGTTAGGGTTTTCTGCCGAAAAGTCAAAGCTCGCGTCAGTCTCGCTCTGTTACGTGGACGGAAGTGGTCCGAACGGAGGGATTGTTTTGTTTTGCACACACTCACTTGGGGGAGCTATAATCTCTCGAATGCTGTGCCAGACATTTTCTTCTTCCTCCTCCCTCGGCCTTTAGGGCAATCAAATCTCACCACCGCGAAGGGATCTGCGCAAATTCTCTCCGCTCTCCCTCCCTCCCTTTCTCTCTCGATCGCGTCGCTAATTCCAGCTCGTGAGTCGTGATTGCGCAATTCCCCCTCCCCTCCACTCGCCAGCGGTGTGGGTTTTAGTGTCTAGATTGCTGGCGTCGGTAGAGCTCACTCACTCACCGGCTCTCGCGTGGAATCAACGACAGTGTCGAGAGAAGATCGTGTATATGTTCTTCGTCATCACAATCTAGCAGCCTTGAAAGTTTTCACCGATTCTCTCTGCAGTCCCCAGGCTTGCTCGCTCGCTCGATCGCTAATCGCGGTATCAAGTTCACACGCACTACACTGGCCACGCGCGCGAGCGAATTCCCTCGTATATCTCTACAGATAGAAAACACAAACACTCTCCACAATAAAATTCCGATTTTGCAGCCATGGTTAGGTGAGTGAGCGCATCTCATCCCTGTCCAAATCCTCCATCCGCAAAAACATATAAAAATTTGCTGGCTTTCCTCCCTTCTCTCTTGTTTATCCTTTTTCTATCGTAGCGCCATAGCTAGGAAGCTTTCAAATAAGGAGGAGAGAGAAGTCGTCACTTCACACACTATGCCGTCTGACCCAATGTCTTGTACAGGCATACGCTGCTGGCTCCAGTAACTACCTAGAGCTCGTACTACACACCAAAGAAATATGGAGGAGGAGAGGGTGAGATCAAATAACTAGAGGACCAAAGCCCGAGCTCCACCTCTCTCTCTCGCTCTCTCTCTCTCTCTCTCTCTCTCGCTTTCTCTCTCGCGAGATCTTGCACAGTCGGCCTTTTAGGATCAATCCCCACTTATCTCTCCAGGCAATTTGACGGTTTCTCTTCACTCTCTCAAATCCAAGCTCAAGTTGAACTTTAGCTCATTTTCTTCTTTTCTTCTCCATTTTTTCGGCGATTTATTCTTGCTGGACGCTGCTGCTCGGCTTTCAATCTTCCATCTTGCCTCTGGCCAGAAAGCTAAAACGAGAAAAAGGAAGGAAGAAAAGAAGGAGAGAGGATATGGCAGTGGCAGACTTACAGGGTCGTTAAGTGTAGTTCTTTGGAGCCCAGGTGTGTGGAAGAACACAAGGCCAGGACAGGGAGAAATTCAAGGAGAGCGGTCAGTAGCGGGGAAATCGTGCGCGTAGCTCTCCTTTAAAGTAGAGTTCCCGAGGCTATGGCTTTCAACTTGCCCCATAATATGTCACTGCAGCAATTGACAGAGCTCCAGGAGGCAGTGGTCGCGTCCACCGCCGCCACCACCACCAGCGCCACCACTTCCAGATTTAATGCTTCCACCGCCGCTGCGAGCGACACCAGGCATGCTGGTACCACCACCTCCTCCACCGCGATCACTATAGCCACTGCCGGGAGCACCAAAGATCAAGCCGCCACCGATGCCACAGCCTCGCGGGCTCGATCTCGCCAGCAAGACGACGATGGCGATGGCGGGGTGGAGGACGAGGACGACGAGGAGGAGCAAGCTGTGGAGGCCGGCGGTGGGAGGAGGAGAGAAGAAGATGGAGGCGGCCGGGATCAACGGGAACAAGCTCTAGACGAAGGAGGAGATCAGGATGATCAAGGCGGGGATAGCAGGAATCCCTCGCTGCTACTGCTGCGCGGTAAGAATCACAAGGCTGGAGGTGGAGGTGGACTAGCTCCCAGTGGCCCGACATGGCTGAGCAACGCAGTGATGCCCCGGCAGCCATCGCCATCGCCAGTAGCGGCCGCGGGAGCTCCGAATTACAGTCAGTGGCTGGCAATGCCTCAGCCGCAAGTGACTTCCACGGACCTTGGAGAGCAATCGCACGACGCCGCCGCGGCCGCCGCGGCCGCTGCCAAGGGGTTTCTGGAGCATTTGCATGGGGACACCGCTAACAGTGGCGGCGGGGTTGGCGGCGACATGGTGGCGGAGGAGCAAGGTGGCGGCGGCGGGGGGATGGATTCCAAGCTCTGGCAGAGCGCGCGGCTCAAGGCGGACTTGGTCACGCATCCGCTCTACGAGCAGCTGCTGTCGGCACACATCTCGTGCCTGCGCACCGCCACGCCGGTGGATCAGCTGCCCAAGATCGACGCGCAGCTCGCGCATTCCAGCCAGGTTGCTGCAAAGTATTCCATCCTCGCGACCAACGAGCAAGGCCTCAGCAAAGACAAGGACGAAGTGAACGAATTCATGGTAAGTTCTCTGTCGATCGCCCCCTCTAGAAGAAGTTCTAGATAGATCGTGAACTTGAGAGAGAGTGAGAGAGAGAGAGAGAGAAACACTGGCATAGCTATTTTCCATGACTGCATTCTTCTTCTCCTACAAATCCATTCGAAGGCCAGGAATTTGCTGCTAGACTCGTGCTCTTGTTCTTGTTCTTTCTCTTGGTTTTCTTGTCGTTTTAGTGTGTTTTTCGTTTTTTTTTTTTCTTTTTGTTTCCTGCAACTTTACATTGACCGACACTTTTGCGTGTTTTTTTTTTCTCTTTTTCCTTTACTTTTTTTTCTTGTCTGATCAGGCACACTATGTGACTTTGCTACGCTCGTTCAAGGATCAGCTCCAACAACACGTCCGTGTGCACGCCATGGAAGCCGTCGTGGCATGCTGGGAGCTAGAACAGTCCTTGTTCACGCTAACAGGCAAGCATAACTTTACAAGCCGCTCCAAAAGAGAGGTTTTTTTTTTTTTTTCCTCCTTTTCCAATTTTCTTATGATCGTTTGTCAAAAAGTAAGTCAGTCAGGACAATCCTTCCCTCCTTTTTCTTCAAGGCAAAGAGAAGAAGAAGAAGAAGAAGAAGAAGAAGAAGAAGAAGAAGCGTCCATAACTCAAAGTCATGACTTAAAAGCTCCTCCTTTCTCCTCCAAGCGAGAGAATTCTAGACGAGTGCCAGCTTTTTCTACTGCTTTCTCCAGTGTTCCTGGTTTGGTCGAGTGGATTCTTGCGGGAAAAATCAGGAAAAATCTAATTTTTATCCTAAAAAACTTGCAGGCGTTTCTCCCGGCGAGGGAACTGGCGCGACAATGTCCGAGGACGAGGACGATCAGCAAGCCGACAGTGATTCCGGCTACTACGACGCGGGGATGGACGGCCACGATTTCACAGGCTTTGGGCCCCTCATCCCCACCGAGACAGAGCGGACTCTCATGGAGCGCGTCAGACACGAGCTCAAGATCGAGTTAAAACAGGTAAAGCGACACAAGCTCCCTTGGTTTTCTGGAGTGACAAAATCGAATTTTGATGACCACGCAGGGATACAAGGCTAAGATCAACGACGTACGCGAGGAGATTCTTCGAAAGCGCAGGGCCGGAAAGCTTCCAGGCGATACAACGTCCGTGCTCAAGACGTGGTGGCATGCACACTCCAAATGGCCGTATCCATCCGTAAGTTCTTCTTTTCTACGCCCATACGCTTGCTTCTACAAGCGAGCCTCTATTGACAAGATTGATAGATGTTGGATCCACAACCGAAAGAAAGAAGAAGCATGGAATCGTTTATGCTTATTTTTTCTTCGCCTTCTAATTTCTACGCGTTCTTCCAGGAAGATGACAAGGCACGTCTTGTCCAGGAGACCGGATTGGAGCTCAAGCAGATCAACAATTGGTTTATAAACCAGAGGAAGCGAAACTGGCACAGCAATCCATCCTCGTCCACGTCTCTAAAAAACAAGCGCAAGAGGTGAGTGATTGCGTTTTTCTTGCTAAAACTGCGAAGTCGCGCTTCTTGTTCTTCGTAAACTTGACTTGTAGTTCTTCTCATGATTTCAGGTGATCCACCGTACACGGAAAGAAACAAAGAGCGAAAAAAAAGGGAAAATTACACAAAGAAAGAGAAAGCGAGCGAGCGAGCTTTATAAAAGTTAAGCCAGCACTCACACAAACAAGGCGTGCCAAAGGATTTGCATCATAGCATTGCCAAAACTAAACTTTTGCTCCACATGATTACAGGTTTTGCTGATTTGACGAGCCATAGATTCAATCGAGCGATCCCTCCCCCTTGGCCTCCATCCTGTTTTGCTTTTTTGGCTTCTCGATCCGATCGAAGATCATCTACGAAAGAGTAATAGTCCCGAGGAAGTAAAGTTTCAAAGTCACCTGTGAGTGTTTTTTAAGTTGGTGGTGGCCTAGATTTGTTTTTGTCACTCGAGCAAAGCGATGCATCTCTTCAACTCCTTGCAGGAGCACTGCGGGTGGCCGTATTGAGCCCAGCCATTGAATCCTCTCTCCAGCACGAAAACTTCGGGACCGCCACCACTGCTGGAAATCGAGTGGAGGAAAGCCTTGGCACACTTTGGTCCGCGAACCTGATTATCCAATCCAAACATGAGAATCACCAATCCCGAAGAGAAAAGAAAAAGAACTTTAGAAGGAAGAATATCTAGTCTAGTAGCAGTAGATGAGAATAGTTGAGCTAGAAAGTAGTTCTTGCTGCTAGATCTTCCGTGGAAAGAGATGTGAATTATACCTGGCTCAATGCGCAGTGGAAAACGACCGTCTTGTGGCGGCTCAAATCTTGCAGCAGTCGCGGCATATCGTCTTGGAAACTGTGACTCTCGCAGTGGAGGGAGCCAGCTATGTGGCCATCGTAGGCTCGCTCATCCTCGTCCCTGGGAAAGGAAGGAGAGATCTCTCAAGGGCTCGGCAATGCGTGAAAATTCGCTACGCATTTCCTTCTTACCGGACATCGATGATCGCTACTTCCGGCGATCCGCGCAGCGCCAGTAGCTGCGCGGCGCTCATGAAGCGCAGCTGGGGCGATGCCCCCGCCGCCGCCGCTAGCGTGGCCATTGCCGTCGCCGCCATCGCTTGGAACGAGGAGCCCTAAAAAAAAGTTTTGGGCGCCGGCCTTTTCACCCTTTTGACTTTTAACAAGTTACAAAAGGTGAGTTTTCTTTTTTTTTTTCTTTTGATTCAAAGAAGAACCAACTTGCTTCCCAAGAACAGTGGAACAACTTTCCTCTTCCTTGCGAAGAGAGCCAAAAAGAAATCACGAATCCAACTTATAGATCGATCACTCCCGCGGCCAAGGAGCTCAAAACTCCCACCTGGACCTCCAAGAACATCATGTAATCCACCGCCTCCTGGAGCAACACCGCCGAGCTCTTCACGAGCCGGCCTCCGGGAATCAAATCCTTGAGCACTTCAATGCGACCGTCCGTGATCTCGCATGATTGCCGCCGCCGAGACTTTCGCAAGCTCCGCCTCAGGCATACCCGGCTCCTCCTCTTGGACACACAGCTCCACACTCTAGATGATCCGGAAGCTCTGCGAGCTCGATGGACTCGGCGACGATCTCCTCCAAGAACCTGGCGAGCCAGAGCTCCACTCCAGCAGCAGCTAGTTCCTCGAGCAGTGGCCGCCAGCGATCCATCCGCGACCAATCTTATCACCTGATCTCTCTCGTCCACGCTCAAGCTCGACGAGCTCCTCATCACCGTGGCCAGGGAAGGGAGGAGATAGCCGGCATACTTCCTTCCATAGTACTCCTCCATTCCTCTCACCTTGATCGATCGATATATAAGTTACATCCACCGATTAAACAACAAAGATCTTGCTATATTCTAGAGTGACACGAGAGAACCTTGGAGGGGGGAAGATTCAGCACACGCACAAAAATAAAAGATCTTTGCGAGGCTCGCGGTCGTGAACAGTGAAGCGCGAGTGGCTTTTTATACACCCGTCCATTAAGAGAGGAGTTTTCCTCCTTCAATCTCACACTTCCTCTCTCGCTGGAGTGGATTGAGAGCATCGCAAAGGCAACGACCGCGACGCGGCTTAATCAATGGGAAAGCAAAGCCAAAAGAGTACCGCTTCCCTGGCTATGGGCTTAAATTCACTCGCTCTCTCTCTGGATCATGTGTGTGGAGGAGAGCATTCCATTTCCCAGGCTGGAACCACCAGGGCGATCGAGCCCCAAGCTCAATCAATCAATCAATCAATTGGACAGGAGCGAGCAATCAAAGTTAACAACAGCAAGAGCAAAGGTTTTCCATCCCATCCTCCAACCAAACGCGAAAACGATAACGGGCCAAGCCTCACAGCAGGGGGGTGCATGTGGATTGTGGCAGCAAGTTTTTTTAAAATTTTTATTTATCTATTTCTTCGGTTTTTTTTTTTTCTTGCGATTTTTTTCTTTTGTTTTCTTGCTTTCTCCGTTAAATGCGTGGGAGTAATTGCAATTTTTTTTCTTTTGTTTTTGCTTTCTCTGTTAAGTGCGTGGGAGTAAATTCACCAAGCGAGATCCGCAGGAAGATCTCCAACTTCCAGACATAAACGTTATAAGCATTTTGATTCCCAGCCAGCAGAGCTACTGAAATTTCTGGCAATTTTTATTCTTTTTCACAGAAAGCAATTTTATGAGCAAGAATTATAAGATTTATAAAAAACTATAGAAAAATCCAACAAAAGACAAACACACGCACAAGTGTGTAAGAAGCGCAAATGCCGCATCACGGGATTTCAATCCAGCCAGTAGCACATGCCCCCACATGGGCCAATCAAACGCACCGTACGCATCCGACGGCGCCCGTCGCAAGGACCACCGCAGCCGCCAGATCGGGACACGTCCGTACGTACGCTTTCTCAGTGTAAAATGTACAGCTCTTCTCTTCTCGTTTTTTCTTTCTCGTTCCTTTTTTCTCGTCCTTTTTTTTTTTTCTGCTCAAGCCGCGGCCTGGACCGTCACCTTTTGCGGAGGTGGCGGCTTGTCCGACACCGATCTCAGCAGCTCCAAGTTGAAAACGAGGCCCAGAAAGTGAGAGAGGAGCGCGTTGGCACAGGCCTGTAAACAAAGCAGAGAGAGAAGAGCACGGAGCATTAGCACAGCTTCCTTCTTCGCTGTTTTCCCTGAGAAGTGGGCAGAGGACTCGACAAGTTACAGCATGGATGGAATGGACGTAATGCAATGCAAGCGCGAGAGAGTGAAGACGGGAGAGTTAATGCTCTCTTCTGTCGCTCGGAAATCTAGACGAATTCAAGGCGGATGGGCGAGGACGATACCTGGACGAGGAAGACGTCGAGAGCTAGCACTGGGCTCTGGCCCGCGTAGGGGCCTTGCAAGAACGGCGTTGCCGGGGAGTTCAACGCCTTTGCAACGAGCAGCCCCACCGTTGCCTGCAAGCCGACCACCGTTGACGCTAGGCCGAGAACGTTGACTATGATCCCGGTTTTGAGCTTGTCAATGACCTCCGTTCTGGGAGGAGCCTGTACGAAAACAGGAAGTTAAAAGCTAGCTTACGAAAAACCAACAAAGGAAAGAACAAACTAAACAAGAAAACCAACAAAGAATGGAAAAAAACTAAACGAGAAAACGAACAAAGAAAAGAAAAGAAACTAAGTTTTTACCTTTGAGGGATCGCTCATAGCGCTTTCTAGCCTTCCAGACAATCGCATGTATCCAAAGGAGCGGAACACCGAGATAAATCCCACGGCAATCCCCGCTGCCGTGAGATACTTGGTCACAGTCGCTGTGGCAGTCCCGCTAACAAAGATCGAGAATGCGAGAATTGCCGCGGAGACTAGAGTGCACAGGAACTGGCTCCAAAATCCGAGCGATCCCATCGTCTTGAAATGGCGAGCAGTCTCTTCGAGACGCTTTGCGACCTGCGAAAGAGAAAGAAAAAGGGGAGAGTCAGAACTTCACAAGAACTTCCGAAAAGCTTCTTCAAGAAAAACGATTTCTAGAGAAAAGAAAGAACTAAAATTCGGCATTTTTACTGACCAGGTTTCGCATGTTGATCTCCGCTGCATCCACAGTAGTCGTGTAGCTCGATCCAAACCCTGACGCTTCTCTTGTTCCATACTGAGCCTGCGCCTTGATTGACGACACATTGGAATTCTTGAATTGGATCGAAGAAGTGGTGAATTGCCTCGGAGAAGAAGAATGCGCCTGGAGAAGATTCAAGAGATTACCTCGGGGCCGGTGCTGGAGCTGGGATCGCGCGCGCAGCGGCGCGGCGGCGACGAGCCGGGCGTGGGGGAGGAGCAGTAGCGCCTGCTGCATGCTGATAAACCCTAAGCACCCCTGTTGGTTGATTAGCGCTAAACAAAACCCGTGCTTATCGCTTACGAATGTGTCGGTGCCACGATACCCCTTGACGTGTCTAGCCCTGGACACGTGTCTTATTACTGGCGAGAAATGCCACTTGGAAAGATAGCGATGGAAGTGCACGCGTCCCACTTCTTCGTATAAAATGAGAGGAAATCCAAATCCAATCGTGTGAAGGAATTGCAATGTCTTACGAGCAGCAAATTCGCGATCAATCCGGCATGGATCAGCAGGAGAACAGCCCCTACGTCGCTCACTCGGACGCAGTTGGGCACCTCGGGCAGCCCAGCTCGGAGAGGCCGTCGCAAGCTCCTGGAGATCGCGGCGTCCACTTTGGTAAGAACGCAGGATATGGCGACACCGAGGCGGTAAATCCCCAGTCCGGGCAGCAGCAGCACCACCATCCCCTCGAGGCGACGCACGACACCAACATCGGCCACGGGCACGAGCCCTTCTCGGCCTCCACGACGGAGTCCGGCTACGTTGCTCCAGCCGGGGCCGACCAGCGTCACCGCGGAATGGGCGAGAAGATGAAGGACGCGGTGAAAGGCGCCGTCGGTGGTGGCCCGAAAAGCTCGTCTCACGATCAAGTTCATGGAGTTCCTGCTGGCCAGGGACCTGGAGGAGCTCACGATCAGCTTCATGGAGTTCCTGCTGGCCAGGGGACTGGAGTTCCACCCGAGCAGCAGTCAAAGAGTCCTGGATTCGTCGGCAAGATGAAGGACGCCTTGACTGGGCAGAAGCCTGGATACGGTGCTGCTACCGGACACGCCACCACTGGGGGTGCTGTTCCTGGCGAGGAGGACTACGCTGGGAAGTTCCAAGGCGAGCATGATACCAAGTGGCCTCGACCAGTTCCTCCTCCAGGTATGTCCAAAGCATCTGTTACCAGTGATCGACCTGGAGAGACCCACTTTGCTTCTAATCGTCCTGACGCTGGTACTCCGGAGAGTTACTCTACTGGTCCTGGACCTTATGGTGAAGAGAAGGCCTCGAGATACCAGAATGTTGGCAAGCCTGGTCACGAGGGTACTACGTATAATCCAGAGCAGCAGCACTATGGTGGACAGAACGTCGCCGAGCCTGGTACTGGAGGTTTGATGGGAACGACTTATAATGGCGGAGAGAAGACTGGTCCTGGAACTGGAACTGAGTACGGTGCTGGAGATCATGCAACTGGAACTGCGTACGGTGCTGGAGATCCGAATTATCAGAAGTCCGCTGCTGGAACTGGAACTGAGTACGGTGCTGGAGATCCGAATTATCAGAAGTCCGGTGCTGGAACTGGAACTGAGTATGGTGCTGGAGATCATGCAACTGGAACTGCGTACGGTGCTGGAGATCCGAATTATCAGAAGTCCGCTGCTGGAACTGGAACTGAGTACGGTGCTGGAGATCCGAATTATCAGAAGTCCGCTGCTGGAACTGGAACTGAGTACGGTGCTGGAGATCATGCAACTGGAACTGCGTACGGTGCTGGAGATCCGAATTATCAGAAGTCCGCTGCTGGAACTCATGATCCATCGAAGGCTGTCCAAGAAGAGATGTATCCTCCGGAGAGCTACAAGGGAGCGGAGCAGTACTCCACTCCCGGTGCTGCGAGCACTCCAGCGCCACCAAATGCTCGTCACGACACTCCGACTGGCCAGAACGAGGGTGGAGGTGAGTATAAAGACTCCCACGGTGTTCATAAAGAAGGTCCCCGGGATGACAACGTGAAGAAGGAAGGACTGATGGCGAAGATGATGGACAAGCTGCATCTTAGCCCGAAACACCGTGACCGTGCTCAACACAAAGACTCCACCACCACCACCACTTCGTAGATAAAGATGTGATCGTATGAAAGAAGTGTCTGCCTGTTGTATATAATTAAAGGTTTGAATTTTTTAGATATCTCGACCAACCTGTGTAGTGGTAGCGTGAGTATAGAACCCCAGAAGCAAGGAAAGAAAACGAACCATAATTGTGTGTCTGCTGCTAGAGATAGATCACCGCTCCAGCGCACGCGTGCCTTCGGCTACGCATCTGCGGCAAACTGATCCATTCTCTCCTCGCAGGAATGTAGACGATGACAGAATCAAGTCCCCCACCATCGTAGGAGCTCGATCCTCCCGCTATGTACAAGTTTCCGGCCATTGCAACGACCGCGGAGCCCCACAAGCTGCATCGTGCTCCATGAAGAAGCTTGGAAACCGGTATAGTTCCCTTGTCTTCCCATTCTCCCCGGATAGTGTCATAAACTTGGAGCTCCAGCCTATCCATGTCCGTGAACTTCGAACCGACCACGTAGATAAAAGGCCCGATCGCCGCACAGCCAACTATGATCCAAGGCTCCTGCCTCTCCGAGCAAGTCTCCCAGCTCCCCTCGCGAGGATCGAAAACCTCGACGGACGTGAGGATCAACGGAGTGCTGTAGCCACCGATCACGTAGAGCTTGTCACCAGCGACGGCCGAAGCACAGCAGCTTCTCTTCTCTTTCATGGGTGGCAGCCTTAGCCACGAATTCTTCTCTGGGTGATAGACTTCCGCAGACCTGAGTCGGGCATTCTCCGTGGAGTAGTGCCGGCAAAGCCCACCAGCGACGTAAATCCTTCCCTCTATCACACCGCAAGCGAAGGCCTCCCTGGGCTCGAGCATAGCCGCGGCCTCCTCCCAAACGTTGTGCTCAAAGTCATAGACGGCCATTTGGGGTCTCCCCGTGAAGCCACCCACGACATAGAGCCGGCCATCGAAGGCCACGCAAGGGACGTTGTGGCAGGAGCTAGAAGGTGCCGCCGGCAGCGAGCGCCAGCGGCCCTCTAGAGGATGATACATCTCAGCTAGAAGATGCCCCTTGTTCTCCTGTAGATTGAGAGAGCCCTAGTCAGAAATCGCGAAATCGCGAAATCCCTCACCTGGACGCCGCCCAGCACGCACAGCCATGGCTCCAAGCGGCTCCGGCAGAGGCTGTAGCGCAGCGCTCGGCCGTGGCGGAGCAAATCGTGGAAGCGGCGGCAGACGAGGCGCGCAGCGGCCTGGTGCTGCGGCGGCAGCCACGCCAAGCATTGGACGAGGATGTGATCGGGCAGGGCATCCATGCCCTCCTCCGCCGCTCCTCCTCCTCCTCATTCTAGCACACAAAACCCTAGGACACGCATTTGGCGCCCCATTGTCTTTTCAAAATTTAAAATTATATTAAACTCCTTAAATTCATCAGATATATAACACGGGCTATCACCAAAATTTGTTGCATGTAAAGTTGCATGAATAAAAAAATACATTCTGTAATGATGATCATAAGATAAAATTTGAATATATTACCATCGTAAATCATTAAACCTTCTTTCACCAAGTTTTTCACCAAGTAATTTTCTCAAATTGGCTTTAAAACGAGAGTGATACATCAAATTAGGTATGGAGAAGCTTCTAGAGGCGGAGTGCAAGGATGCGAGATCGGGGCTGAGGAGGAGATCAGCTGGCGAATGGGCTGCGCTGCTCCATCTCCGAAAGGCGCAGCAGGAGTTGCGTTTTCCAGCCCTGGGGGACGAGATTATGTCTAAAATCGTGAGCCTAGCCGAGGAGGATCTTCGCGAGGCCGAGTGCGCTCACGAGGCCATGACTGTGTGGAGATCAGACTGCTGGCTCCCGTTTGCCTATGATCCAGAGCTCTTCAATCTGCTGGCGGTGCTCTACATCTCGCGCTGCCTCTCAAACAATCACGCAGAGTTCCAAGCCTGCCTAGCCCATCTCCATACGGCGAGCTCCGATAATCTGCATCGTCTTGTCCTGGTCGGCCAGGTTCTTGGTGAATCTGCTTTCCTTGAGGACGATTCCCCGGCGTTTGCTACTGTGGAGAGGATTTGGACGATGCCATATGAGTCCATGCAACTCGGGTAAGCTTAAGCTTGCAACTCTTCATATCCAACAATTTAACTTCAGGCCCACTTTCACGAGTGTCACTGACATAGTGACAGAAATCGTCCATTCGGATTACTTTTGTTCTTTTCCAAGTCGAGTTGAGGTACTGAATCGACGGTGATGGTGATGTTCGTCGACTACGCTTTTCCCTTCAGGGTCCAAACTGTGCCACCGCTTTGGTTTGTATAAGGGATCATATCGAGGCTGGGCCTGGATGCGTGAGTGAGTTGCGCTGCCTTGCGGACGAAGTGATGGACTGCTACAACAGGGAGACTGTTAGTCTGAGCAAGGAAGAGTGGGACGAGTACTTTCGACTGGGGTCGCAGTTGCCAGTCGCGAATTGGGGTGGCCTTGGCTCTGGACAGGCCAAGAAACTGTTTTCCGCCATGCACGACGAGGAGGGCACCGGTCTTTTGGATAGTCTCTGTACTCAAAGGCCTCCTCAGTCGGCATTCCTCTCCCACTTGTTTGCACTGTTCGACTGCGCAACACACGCGAGGCTTTGGCTCTGCAAATCCACTCTCCCTGTCTACCACGCCTTCAGCAATGTCCAGTGTAAGCCTCCTACACATCTCATGTCTTTGCATCTGATCGATTACGTTGGTTTTTCGCAGATTGCAATCTTGCTTGTTCAAACACCGATAGGGAACCTGAAAGTGAACGCCAAGTTTTGGTGAGTTGAAACCAAATCCTTGTTTTGTTTTTCTCATTTTGGGCCGTTTCTCTACAGGCGTCACCACTTGGCTTTCAGGAGCGTGTTCTATCGTATATTGAGCGACGCCAAAGACGGGATGCCATACGTGCCCATAGCGAGTCCCATCCATTTATTCATTCGTGCAGGGTCAAGATGGGAAAATACCAATTTGTCATGAGTATGCGAATCCCCGTCTGCCGTGCTCTTCGAGTTCCTGTTGTTATCTGCAAGCCTCAGGACGTGGATATTGTGGAGGATCACGATTTTGCCGTCTGCTTAGACCATTTCCTGTGGTTTGAATCGGTTCCAAGGCTCAATTTTCTCTTTGCAGCGGTGGACGTGTACAAGTTCACTGACAAGGAGCACACAAATATGCTTCCTGTTGATCAAGACGAGCTTAAAAGGTACTACAGTGTGACCGAGTTCCTCAAGGTGAGAGCCGAGTGGATTTTAAGGCGCTTCAGACGTAGAAAAGCCGTGCAATCTTACCGTACAGACGATTCCTAGCTTAGACTTCTCATGGTTGCTCCGAAAAATCGATGGCCATGGGGAGCTGCGAATCCATGGAGGGCTGATTTTAATTTTCCACCTCCAGTACACAGCTGACATGAAGTATTTTTGCTTTTTGCTTGGTGGAAATATCTCTACAGCTGTTTCTGTCGATATAATATTTCAACCCAGTGCGTTCTTGCACAGCTGTACGAAATGGCCGCTAAAAATCCTTGCCGAAAACCCCTGTGTTACCTACCATCCTGAATCAGGGCTGGAAGAGATTCTTGACTCGAGCACCATCCTCTGGAAATGATTCTCTTGGACAGAAGCACGGCTAAGGCCACAAGCTTTGCCAGGTGCACAATTTTTCCTTTTTGAGCTACTAACATAACAGATATGTTTGGAGAACCATCTTGACATTAATAATAACAACATGAGCTTTAGCACTGTCTTTCCTTATTAAAGCAAGCTTTTGTTTTACACGTGAGTGTAACACTGTATCATATCAAAAGCACATATCCATGGTTATAGAAATAAAACATTTTACATTTGAATGCACCAATTGGTATTGCACAAGAAACATTCCCATAGAATGGGCTGGTACTACATCCAAGGAACAACATAACACAGAGATGGCTGACTATGAAGCTCTACATGAGAAGCCATCATATGAAGAGCTGGAACATCTAAGTAAGGATGTGAATGGAGCTTCTAAGGTGGACAAGGTAGTTATTCCAAGCAACGAGGTGGTGCAAATTCCATGTATGGTGAAGGTGGAAGTAGAAGTTCCTCCTCCACATAAAAATGGAGGAAAAGCTGGAAGTGGCCTTCGCTGAAGAAGGTGGAGGCTTTACTGGAGACTTCCTATGAAGAAGCCTTGTGTGAAGACAAGGTTCCTCCTCCACGTGAGATGGAAGAGGAGGTGGAGGCTCCTTGTGAGAAGGCCCTATGTCAAGATTCTATATGAGATAGAGGATCCATAGCATGAGTTGGAGCCCTCTTGTGTGGAGGTTAAGGCAAAGGCTCAATGTGATGAGGGGGAGGCTGAAGTAGCAAGTGAAATTACATAGCTTGAGCCCCTCATCATGGTGTGCTTGTGGCATTAGTGAGTTGCAATTTCTTATTATGCAATTAGAGAAGAACTTATATTTTATTTGTCCATGACATGATAACATGTATAACTTTACATTATACAACCTGAGAGTTCATTTTTTTCCTATCAAAAATTATATTCATCTTTTATACATGTATAGTTAAATAACTCCTTTAGGCAAAATTGATGCCTAGCAATATTTTATCATCATATAATGATATTGAGGGATTAGACTCAATATATAAGGGTTTTTATCATTAGCCAATGCAAGACATAATGTGACTTTTTAAAAGAAAGCAATATTAAGGCACTCATAGATGTATTAGATCTAAAATGTGATTATAATGTATTGAATTTAAGATGTTTAAATTTGTAGCAAAAACTGAAGTGTCTTTCCAAATCCCTAAAATGGTTGCTCTCGAGATAGACTAGCACTCATGGTTCATCACCTCTCAAACTAACATATGACTTTAGCTCTTATCATATCCCATTGGACTTACATACTCCATCCATATCATCCTTGACACTGAATATGTTTTCAAGCTGGACTAATGGCCAAACTTTTTGCTCCTTTGAGCCAACATCTTTACTCCTAGACTTAAATTCTAGAACATTTTCTAATTCTTGCATCACTTTGAAAATTTATTGCTAGAGGTAAATTGGACTTATCAGATGGCAGTTTAAACATATAGTGTGATTCTTTTAATCAACCAATAGAGTCAATACATCTCTTAAAAGATAATGTGCTTATATTGCAATATAATGAATCAGTATTATAACAAGAAATGTTTATTGTCTAAGAAATCCATTATTGAAATATATAAACACCTTAAAACACTAAAAAAGTATTATTTGATATCATGAAGAGATTAAATAATGCTCAAGGGACTAAATCTCTAGAGAAAATGGATAAGAGATGTTATTCAAGTTCAAGGTTGAATAACATGTCATGAAAGAGTTTAGTTTTAAATTCAAGTGTGTTACAAGATGGTCTATCTATAATGGATAGGGCAAAAAAGATTTTGCCATGATTAGTAATGCGCATATAATAACTCATGAGTAGCAAATGTTAATCTTGATGTATGGAATTACAAGGTGAGTATATTTAAATTGAGGAACCATTCCTTAAGTCATTGAGTAAGTTCATTCTTAAAAATACTTGTTAAAATATGGTAATAAGTGTAAAGCTACCCTTCTAGCATAGAGAAGAATAAATGAAGGGAATGTATAAAATTAAAAACAAGTAGCAAATGGATAAAATTGAACTATAGAAATTAAGAAACATAACCTAAAATAATTATGCAAGATAAGAGTGGGGAATCAAGTAGGTACTTAAGGGTCTCACTACTGGTGTCATAAAGAGTCTCAAAATGGAATTGTTTATGTTAGACTAGATGGTAGATAGGAAGCTTATGAAAGAAGAAGCTTTAATGAAATCCCTTTAATATTCCAAAGACAATTCTAGGTAAGTTAGTATATAGAAAAATGAGTGCAAATGGTTTATAAGAATGCATGAAATTAGAATAGTGTAATTGAAGTGTGGTCTTGAAATTTGCCATGAGATGAGGCTATCAAGATTGAGGAAATATTACCTGCATATTCAAAGAGATAGCTTTATCTGTCAATATTTAAGGACTTTCACACTTATGCATTGAACCATATTATGTTAATTGGGTGACTTGTTAAGTGGGATTGCAAGTTGGAGGAACAAAAGCCCTAATTAAAGGTGTTAACTTTAAGAGGGGTGGCCCATAAAGCTAAACATAGAGGAGTCTATACATGATCACAAGCTAATTAACTAACTTATCAAGTGAAAAGACTTGGAAACTTGAAAAAACTAAGTTCTTAAACTGTGATCTATAACACATGTATAAATGTTGTATATAGATGCATATACAGAAGCTAAGTTCAAGTCCCAACTATTTAATACCTGGTTTTAATAAACATATATGTACATTCCCAT